TACTTCTCGAGGTATGGTCACAAGGAATCCTGCTTCAGAAATAACTCCTCTCCCTCAGTCATCTTTCCATCAAGCAAGTTTCATCAGAGGTGGCAGTAACGCACCAAAAAGTTTGTTGTCGAACACCGTAAAACAGGAAGAAGAAATCATCCTTCTCCTTATCATATGGATTTACTTCCATCGGCTAGACACCGGCCTCACAGCTCAGTGAATGTCGGTGCCGTTACTTATTGATCCACGATCGGTAAATGTTGTGTGGATGCTACTGCGCTACTTGACTAATAAAATAGCTTTGCTACTGAAAAGCTATTTGATTTAGAAAGTAGTGACGCTACAGCCACGCTACTAAGAAATGTAGTTAAGCTAGTAGCGTCACTACTTGTAGCGACGCTACTGCCCAACACTGTGTATAGGCAATTTATTTAGCAAAAATGATTGAGGTCATGACCATGTGTTGTGCGATAGGAACATATATTGATTATTGTGACAGGCCTAATGTTGTGCTGTATTTTTTGCAAAGAAATAAAAAAATAAAAACAATTGTTCACAAAAAATTATATAAATAATTAGCTTATCATTCCTAAATAAAAATATCACATTTTCTTTTAAACGTACTAGCAGCTAATGTACTGACAGTGGCTAAACAGGTGTCAAGTTCACCAGTAAAGTTTGTTGTGTAGCTTTAGCAGGTGTCTCATAACTGCACCTTATCTAGAAGGAGAACTAGTCTGATGCTTAAGGGCAGGATATTGGCACAGACCCTGTGTTTATTTCTGGCTTGCAGCCATGGGTCTGGAACAAAATGATCTGTCTTTTCTCCTGCACGTCTCTCTCCTAACAGCACTTGATCTGCTGGCTGACAGTGAAGCTCCACCCACTCTGGAAAAACTGCTATTTTAAGATCTATAACTGCACCGCATGACCTGTCAGTCATTCACACAATCTCCCTTCTTTCTGAATCTGCTATCACTGAAACCTTATTTTACACTGACACTACTGTACACAGTGCTTGAATTACGAGAATATAATTTTAGAATCTGTTTAAAGTGCTGAATATGTCTTAATTCGATGTCATATTGAAGGTCATTGTACATACCATATACTGGGGTCAGAGGCTTGTAAGTTAGTGGCTGTTTCTCTGTTGTTTCCCCTCTTCAAAGAATGACTGGAAACAGGATGTGTGTGCTGGGAGGAAGAATCATTGCTTCCAGGTGACAAATGGAGATAAACCTCAGGTTAATGCTGAGTAGTGTGAAAAGTCTTCAAAAATACATTACCAAGTTCCGAGGCCAATGCCTTTCAAAGGTTTTCAACAAAGGTAAAAAAAAATAACAGAACCTCAAATAACCTCAATAACTAGATAAAGCTTGTAAATGTGTTAGCTTGAGAAAGCCAAGCCTTAACATTTTAAATTTAGACAGAAGAGACGGATACATAAATTTGCTATGAAAAGGATTAACCTGTTTTATGAGGTTATATTATGGTTTAACTATGGTTTTGCTACCACATTTTAACCACTGTGTTTGTAGTAAAACTGGTTTATGCAAATTGTAAAATTGTTACTACACTTTAACTTTTGAAAAGCTGTAGTTGTTTTTTTATATGGTATAGATACATTAGCAACACGATAATCTCTGACTCGAGTGGACTTATCACAATGTTAGCATGTTTTAACGTGTTGCTAACTTGTTTTCACTAACTTGTTTCTAACGTTTTAAAGGGTGTTCATGTTTCAGATATGTAGCGCAATAAAAGCTTAGCATCCTGGATTTAAATTAACACTCCAGAATTTAGCACGATGCTAACACTGTCTGACCACTTGTTTTTCTAGCATAAATAACAAAAGTGCTCTTTTTTTCATTTAGCTAGCATATTGCTAACATTTTAACACATCTGTTTTAGCACGTTCTGGCAATATTTAACACGCTGGGTGAATTTATTCCCCATAACTTGAGTTAATTTGATAAATATAAGCAATTAAACTAGTAATATCTCGTTAATCAGATTTTCATCTCGTTTTTATTTACCAAAATTCGTTCAGATATTACAGTATAACTCACTTCTAACGCCAGTATGGTTTCAAAAAGTGTTTTATTGTGAAAATTGTTAGCAAATCACCTTATCTTCAACGCTGACGATCAAGTTTGAAGAGTATGCTCGAGCCGCTGCAAGCCGTAAGTGAACGAAAACGATTCGTTCTTCAAATGATTCATTAAAAGTTGATTCGAATCATTTTACATAAAAAGAATTACATTTTAGGTTACTTCGATGTGATAAGGCCCGTTGCCAGTCCAGTGAAAGGGATAGTTCTTTTTTTCTCAAAATTTTGCAGTTATTTTCCACTTAGTTATGATACTGCTTTTTAATCACATTTTTAAGCACTATTTTAAGCTGGATTAGATTGTCAGGTGGCCATCATAACAATGATAAAATCGATTTAGAATAAATATGAAAAAAATATGTTTTTAAAATACAAATTTATTACATCATAGACAAAAATGGCAATCTGTTAAAGTTTTTAATTTAAAATGGTAGTCTGTAATTTGTTTGGCAAACAGCCTCTCTTGTAACCAAAGTAAAAATGCTTGAATAACAACAATAGCTAAAATAGTATTCAAGTTAATTGTAATATAGGCCACTTTTGGTGCTTCACACTTTTTTTGTAATTTTTGGTTTCAGAAAAAAGCTTTAAGATTTAGAATAAAAGTTACTTGTAAAATATTTTCTATATTTAACAAAAATACAGTACGTCAGTACTGAAAGATGACCTCACTTACGTCAAATTCGTATGTTTTCTTGCACAGCTAGATGCTGGACTCATGAAAATAATTGTTTGCATTAGGCAAAACTGATTAGCTGAAGTCAAAGCGACAGCCAACAGAAGATTCTGCTTGGTCTTTAAGCCTTATTCCATAACCCTCATTCTCGTTTCTTGTATTATAAAATATCTAACAGTAGTTAAACACGTTAAAAACTATATTTAAAACCCATTTGTAGCTTAATCTAAAGTCAGCTTTCAAGTAGGATATTTCCGCTTGCTCTCATTAAACCTTCAACTTAAGCACTTTGGTTTTTCATCTGACAAAAAGACTAATGACTTCCATCTCATCCTGCTCAGCTGTTATCTCTAATGTATTCTTGGTGTAATCTCTGATATGATCCTTTTACACTAAACTTGGGTTTCTATTGTTCATTTTCCCATCAAAAAAAAAAAAAGATCTACAGTGTTTAAGACAAGCTTAACACATGGGTTTCATTAGAGAACAGGACAGATCTTCTGTGAAAAGTCTTTTTTGCATAAACCAAAGTGTTAGAATCAAAAGTGTGAATACCTCACATATTATTTGAACCTATATAAAATGCAATATTCTTATGGTAAATATGAATAATAAGTATACGATTAGGCCTATGGTTCCCTGGTAAACAATCAAAGATTTTTTGTTTAAATACAAGAAAATCAAGCAAGCACTAATTGATACTAATATAAATACATACTGAGCAAGCAAGCTCTGTAAATCAGTGGACAAAATGATGTAAATGAAACATTTATTATTGTCAACATTGGATTGATGTGGAATGTACAACAAGCAAACATAGCGATTCACCAAACTGTATGAAGAGTTTATGTAAATGATGCAGCAATGGTTTGTTTATAATGTAGTATACGATGTCAGTATATGATTCCTACAGGCTCCAGAAGTAAATATTTCTTCACTGATGTAGGAAGAAAGAGTTGCTGGACACCCAGTTCACAGCGTTTCAACATTGCGGCCCGAATAGCACATCTGGACAGATGCTGGAGAGTCCGTGGATTGTTGGTGCAGACGGCAAACAAAGAGTCATAGAAATTTCTGTGCCTCTATATCAAGAAACAAAACAAAGTTGAAATTACATCATAAATCAAGAAGCATTTCTGAAACAAGATATACGTAATGTTTACGACCAATTATTTTAAGCAGAGACGTTATATGAGCAATATCACACGAGTAGCAGTTCGATCTGACTGTATATCGGCACTGGTGGAAGGCGTGCTTTGACAGGAGGCCGCAGGCTGCAGGCCGAGAGCCTCAGTGTCCCACCAGTGACAATATACAGCCATATCGCACTGCTACGAGTGTGATATTGCGTTTATACAACAGTCCTACTGCATGATCGTGTGTATAAAAAAGACAATCAAACACAGAGCATCTCGAAACCCTTTTGCAAGACGAACTACTTTCTTCCGCCATTCCGTCGCATCTGCAGCTGACGTCAAAACAGCAGAAATGAATGCCAGTTCACTAACGTCACTTTAAAACTAGAATCTGAATGATTCTCTAGTGTAATGTCTAAAGCGAAATGTCTACCAGTTTTTCTCTGATGCAATCGGGAGATCCCAATATTATTAAAGTATAAATACAGCACTACATCATACAAAAGAGAGAGATCGACTTAGGAAGTCATTTACCTGTTTAATAATGATTTGATCAGCTGTAGTTTAAAATTATGCCGTTTTTCTCTTAGGGCTTTATATGCGGTTTCTGTCGCCATCTTGTGGATGAACATCATCAACCGTCTTTGCTCAAAGACAGGCTAATGGCCTCCGACGCTCTGTCCTTCCGAAACTATAAATATTTAAAATAGGCACTATCCTTATAAATAAACTGCATAGTTGCGATCTAAACAACGACATTCTCGCCTAAAAAAGCCTCAAGAGTACATTATGTTGTCCAACAGCATTAATATTTGTCAAACTGTAAAGTGTCCTCTCCTCTGCTTGTTGCTGTATGTGGGCGGAGTAACACACAAGGGTGAAGAGGCTGTTCAAGTGCTGTTACTGGCAGGATATTGCATGGCTATCAGCCAATCAGATTCAAAAACCAGACAGAACTGTTGTATAAACATTTTTATACATCTAATTTTTAAAAAATACATATTTTAAAATATTAAACTTTTATCATCTTTATTGCATCATTTTGATTATAACAGTAATAATAATAATAATACAATAATATTCTGACCTCATATACAGCTTCAGGTATTGCAGCCCTCCATTTTTTGGTGTATTTGATGTGCTCATAGGAGTTTACCATGACCTCCACTGCTCTGGGGTATTCATGACACGCCTGCAAAACCTACTTAAAAGACAAGCAAGAAGAACAACATTAATATTTAAAGACACATTTAAATTGCAGGGGGCTGGTTATAGAAACCAAAACAAAGATTGAAGCGGAACTCTTAAAGGAGAATAATTGACTTTAGCATTGTTTTTTAGATAAACAACTATGTTCGCTTAGCATGTTTTGTAAATATCCAGCCTGATCTTACAAGAAAACATAAGTATTTTACGTTTTGTCAGTTTAGAGGCTAATTTATATGAATTTGTACGAGTTCAGTCGTGCGAAAATTGTCGTACGATTTGAAAAAGGAGGCATGGCAACCAACCCAACCCCTAAACCCAACCGTCGTTGGGTGATGAGCAAATCGTACTAAATTGTACAAATTAGATCGTACAAATTCATATGAATTAGCCACTAAATCAAAGTTACCAATTGCTGTGAGATTGCGCTGAAATATCTGCAAACATATTATGGTAATCATATGATTTAGATGAGTCAAAAACATTTAAACTTTAACTCTTCTGTACTATTCAAATTGTCTACCCTTTCATTATGTTTGTGGCTGTTTTTGCCCCATTGACTTCCATTATAACCACATTTTTGATTGCAAAGCCATGACACCAATCATGTATTCTTGATTGTTGGTGGTTTTCCCCATTGGGAGAAGGAAAAATTTGTACTGTCCATCATCAGTTGGCATCATTAACCATTTAGAAAGTCCTGTGCAAAAACATGTCTGGCTTTTATATGGAGTTATATGAGGTAAAACAGCACATTATGATGTGTTTGCATGAACACAATTACTATGTTTACTCTGTTCTTTGAGACGAGCTGATTTATTTAATTTTCTCAAACATATCAAGGTAAGTGTGCAAAGGTCTCTCTTAAACACTCACACATGCAGAAACAGACTATTCTCCATATAAAAGGATGAAATAAGGATTGTTGTGCACTTTAACTGATGATCAACAGTTCACTCTAAAAATGTTGAGTTATTTATTTAACCCAATGGTTGAGTTTAACATATTTGGTGCTTTGTTGTGTTATTTTTAACCTTTATTTTGTTATTTATTAATAACTCAACCAGTTGGGTTAAATATTTGGTGCTTTGTTGGGTTATTTTTAACCTTTATTTTGTTATTTATTTAATAACTCAACCAGTTGGGTTAAAAATTTGGTGCTTTGTTGGGTTATTTTTAACCTTTATTTTGTTATTTATTTAATAACTCAACCAGTTGAGTTAAATATTTGGTGCTTTGCTGGGTTATATTTAACCTTTATTAGGTTATTTATTAATAACTCAACCAGTTGGGTTAAATATTTGGTGCTTTTTATGGGTTATTTTGAACCTTTATTAGGTTATTTATTTAATAACTCAACCAGTTGGGTTAAAATTTGAATTTGAACAGTCAACTGATTTAATTGACACAGAACAGCTGTATATGTGTATGTAATGTTGTTTTTGAGTTATAAAGTTTATTTAAGCTTTAACACAATAATATTGTAGTTATCTTTTTTATTAATTTACCTCTCAGTGTCATGTTTTTTTATTCATCTCACTATCCAAGACCATCTTTTAAAAGCGTTTGGATGTGGTTAAAATGTGTTGTACATTGTGGACACTGAGTGAAGTCTGCTGCAGCTGCTGGACACTCTTTTTAGCACACAGAGCTCCAAATTCTGCTCCACCAACACAGGATTTTCTGCTTGCACAGTTTATAACTGTCTGCACTTTTATCTGTTTCTTCATTGTTTGTGATTCTTGATTTATTTTAACACAAGTAATAGTAGCAATAGTAATACCAGAATGGAAAAAGATAACATTTAATTAAAATAACCCATGCATTGGGTTAAATTATATACAAAATCATTGGATTAAAGTAACCCATAGTGCTAAAATAACCTATAGTTGGGTTATATGTTGGGGTATTTTTAACCCAACTATTTTAACAGAGTGAAAATCCCAAATTTTACCTCTTCCAAGAATCCATGATTATATGTTGTCATGGCTTTGCAATCAAACAATGTCATTATAATTGAAGTCACTGGGGCAAAAACAGCCCCGAACATCATGAAAGAGTAGTCAATTTGCCCAGTGTGTATTAAGTTTTTGAATTTTTTTTTCAAAATGTCCCAAAATATCTGTAAAAATAAGATCTGTCACCAAAACAGCATTCCATTTGCTAAAACTCAAGAAAGTTGTGGCCAAATCAAGCCTCAAAATTACCACAGAGTGAATGAACACATCTCCAACAGTACACAAGGGTTAAAGCTGGGCGAGTGTTGTACCTTGTGAAACTGCGGCGGATACACTCGTGCTGCTCCATAGTTCAGAAGCAGCTGATAGCAGCGTTCAGGAACAGCCCACGGCCTGATCTGCGTCACCTTCAGCACATACTGTATCGCCGCGCAGCCGTTGACATCCATATCATTAGCTTGCGCTCCGGCCTCCAGCAACATCTGAACCAGCACATGGTCACAGTTCCAGCAGGCTTTGTGCAGCGCCGTCTTCTTGTCTTCCTCTTGCATATGCAGGTTAGCATTGTGGTCCAGCAGGATCCGGCAGACAAGATGGTGGTCTGAGCTGTAGGTCCGCTCACGAATGTCCATGGCCCAGAAAACAGCAGTGATCAGAGGCGTCTCTCTGTAGCAGTTGACTGCATTAATAGCGGCTCCATGTGCGATATAAAAAGCCACCAGCTCTGGGAGCCCGTAGCGGGCCGCCGTGTGCAGAGGGGTGTCCTCGTGCTCCTCACTGGGCATGTTAAGTTTGGCACCTGCAGTAAGATTGCCCGGAGGAAACTCAAATGTAACACAAGTAAAGGGTAATTAATGATGACATCCTTTTCATTTTTGAGTGAACGATCCCGTTTTACTTTCTAATGTACAGTGTTTCACTTCCTGCCCTGCTGAAAAATCCAGCTTAAACCAGCCTAGGATGGTTGGCTGGTTTTAGCTGGTCGACCAGCCTGGTTTTAGAAGGGTTTTGGCCACTTCCAGGCTGGTTTCCAGTCATTTCCAGCCTGGTCTTAGCTGATCAGGCTGGAAAATGACCAGTTAAAACCATCTAAAACCAGCTTGACCATCCTGGTTTAAGCTGGACATAGCTGGTTTTGGCTTGGCTCCCAGCCTGGCTAGGCTGGTCAAGCTGGTTTTAGCTGGTCATCTCCCAGCTTGTCCAGCTAAAGCCAGGCTGGAAATGGCTTGAAACCAGCCTGGAAATGGCCAAAACCCCTCTAAAACCAGGCTGGTCGACCAGCTAAAACCAGCCAACCATCCTAGGCTGGTTTAAGCTGGATTTTTCAGCTGGGTGTAAACAGCACTTTAATATGAGACTGTCACGGTTGTGTAGAGGAAAGGGGCGAGGACTCAAATGCAAAGAAAATGGGTATTTATTAATAGTAAAAATAAAATAACAGGCAAAACAAACTTCCCCGAGGGGAAAGACATTAACAAAACACACAAACAAACTTCACTGGGCAGGTTGGTAGGGATGAGGGCTGGACAGACAGGACAAGGCTACAAACGGCGACATATGATGATGAAATGGCACAGGACAGCAGACATGAGGAGATTATGTGCAGAACTAAATTAACACACAAACAGATGAACATAATTAACTAATAATGGGTTAACAAAGAGGGTGGGACTAGACTATAGACGGGAGAGCACATGACACACAGAGACAGCACAAGCCATGCGCTCACATGAAACAAGACTAGAACACACAGCCAGTGAGATAACTCATTAACCTCGTATTCATGACAACACAAGCACGCGGTGCATGTAAACACGCACCATGTGCTAAACACAACACCAAGGGTCCGTTCTTCGTACCTCGCTTAAATGATCTAAGATGATTTGACAGATCCTGGATCTTTTAATCTTGATAACTGATCTCTCGCTGGTTCTTCAAACAAGTTCGCGAATCAGATAAGAATGTCTGGATAAACTGAGCTGAGATCGCTGCGTGTGTTGTGAAGAACAGATCCCTCGATCCTCGAAATCATGATCAGCAATGCAACGATTGGCTGACGGCACAGCAGCGTAATGACATCATCTGATTAATATTCAATTATTTATGTGAGCAAAATTACATTAAATTAGCAGTAAACGGTTTGTTAAATATGACACGCAATAACCTTCCACATTTGTTGTGAGCTGCAGGCTTTCCACTTTCATGTGTCAAGAGTATTCATCATGTATTTCAATGCAAATCAATGTATTTAGTTCTACATTTAGAAAAGATTTTCTTTATTATAGTAGGCGTTTTTTAATCGGTGTAAAGAATAACTGGCTGTTTACAAAAGCATTTTCATATTGGTAAAGGCGTCAGCAACTTTTGTGAAGCATCAAATCACTGGCATATTAACTATCAAAACATGTTTATGACTGCATAAATATATTATTGCTTAAAAAAAAAGTCACATATTGTGCCTTTCTATTATACACAATTTGTACTAAAGTGATCTAAAAAGTTCATATCAATAATGCCTAGTTCAGACGGCGTGATTTTAGCCCCGATTTTGGCTCGCCGACAGGTTTTGAGAAATCGCCGACAAATGCCTGAAATCACAGGCAAATCGCTGCTTGTGCACGTGAGTGATAATCACACAGTATGAACGATCAAAGACGCGATCTGAGAGAATCGCAGATGAGTCGCCGATGCCTGTGAGATATTTGGCATGCTAAATATCTGGAGCTGTCGGCGATTCAAATCATGCCGTGTGAATTGAGTTTTGACTGAAAATAACATCAGCGATCGCCTACAGCCAATGAGAGAGCAGCTTTCACTTGTGTGTGTGTGTACCTGCTGCAGGCCAGCGGGAGGCTGGGGGAGAAGTTAAAAGCGCTCTTTTTCGGTTTATTTGGACCCACGAAATAGAGAAAAAACTAGTGGAGGTTTGACAGGACTCAGGAGTAACTGTGTCTGTTTGACGTTTCATACAGAAAGAAATTTGTTTATTATCAACGTTGAGGAGAAATGGCTAATTCCCTTTAAACCCAGGTGAGCAAACATGTACATGTTCTACCCCATTAAAGGCTTCTTTCTCATTATGTAGTTAATAACAAAAGATATACTACATGTTTTTGGCTGTGAGACGTAGTTTGGACGAAGTTGTCGGCGATTCTCCCTATAGTAAAGTCATGCAATGTGAATGTCCATGTCACCGAACCATCTTGCAGTGTAAACAAAGCAGCGACGAAACGCTAGCCCAGATAGTCATGCAGTGTGAAAACATCTGTGACACGACTAGTTTGAAAATCATGCAGTCTGAACTCGGCATAAGTTTTCTCTTTGCACCACCAGGTGGCAGTCTTTGTACTTTCGAGGGTGCAGATTGCATACGTTTTATTAATATGTATAACTTTATTTATTTTATCAATGACTTTAACTTTATATATATAGTTAAAAATATGTACCATTTTCCCAAGTGTATATAACTACTACTGTAAAAAAATATCAGAATTCAGAACATACTTTCTGTATTATCTTTGCTTGAACTGAGCCGATCTAATCCTGTTTATATGAATTGAACCTGCTCCCGATCAGGTTTGACCTAGCAGAACTGTTGCTATGACAACAACTCTCGGATAAGCTTTGAAGAACGAAACGATCCTGGATCATGTCAAATCGTCAATATCCAAATCCAGCTAACTGAGTAATCCACGTACGAAGAACGGACCCCAACAGAAGACGCAAGACACAAGTACACGATGAATGAAAACACTCACCGTGCACTCACACAAGCAGCGTGCATGTTTCATCCCAGCGCCGACTGAAACCGAAACCTACTGGACTGAGATGCTGGGAATGAAACACCACGCTGCAGACAGACGAACGTGAACACCTGGACGGGAGCGCGCACTTGCAAACACGCAAAGACCTCACGCACCCGCATCAAGCGGGGACACGCACGGTCCTCGCGCATTCACAAATGGCGCTCATACAGAGACACAGGCTGTTTCTCAATTCCAAGAACGCAGAGAACGAACTTGTGTTCTTCTGGAGAGCGGTCTTGCCAGGTGTCCTCAGAAGAACGAACTCAGGAGACCGCGAGGGCAGAGAATGCGTCCTTTGAGAAATGGGATGCTGCGTTCTTCCTGATGGTCACGTGACCTTCACGTGTTTTAAATGGAAATTATTTAAACATTTCAGCACTCATACAACGATTTATTGTTTTACCCCTTTTCAAAATATATATTTTGCATAAAACATTATAAATCTATGTTGCACAATATGAATAAAACAGATGTTAATACGAATTTCAGCAAACAAACACCCTTAATGTGTTTATTCCTTTATTAAGATGTTCATGTTAATGTTTACTTTCACCGTTTCATTTAGGGAAACTCCTGAGGTAAATAAGTGATATCTCTGAACTTTAATAATAAATCTAAATAAAATGCAGCGCTTCCCACCTCCAGTCGCAATGACTTCTGGGACTTCCAGAGCGAGTTCGGTGCTCAAGTCTGCATCAGTGCGTCCTCGATATCAAGAACACATCCGGGAAGTTTCACGCGTCCTCCGTACTTGCGGTCTTGAGTATTGGAACTGAACTTGGGCAGCTGATGATGACGTTGCACGAGAACACGAGGACGCAAGACCGCTGAAGAACGCATATTGAGAAACAGCCACAGACAATGACAAAACAGGTGCTCGACCCAAGAAAACTCAAGCCGAGCACAACAGGACAGGACTAGACAGAGCTAGTGTCACTATGCCACCAAAACAAGAATTTACACGACCAGAGTGGCAGAACCCTGACAGAGACATTCAACTGACTGTAAAGCTGATACTATTCAGATAACAGCTTAGCAAATGTACAGACCTTTGAGCACGAGTAGTTTGGCGCAGTCCAGTGACTCTGGTGTGATGCAGTAGTGTAATGGCGTGTGTCCGCTCAGAGACATGCTGTTGATCCGTGCGCCCCACTCCAGCAGGAGACCCACACAGTCAGCGCTGGCCACCGTACAGGCCACATGTAGAGGCGTCTTCCCATTGGGCTTTCTGTTGACCGCTGCACCGTTCTGCAGGAGAACCACAGCACTCTCCAATGCGCTGTACATCATACACACGTGAAGACCCATCGCCCAGGACGTCTCCAGTTTATAACTCGGCAGCCAGTAGCCTTAAGAAAAAAGCAGTTTTCAAAGACAGTGATGGAAAGAGTACTGAAAAATCATACGCAAGTATAAGTATCATTATGTTTCCAAAGATGTAGAGCGAGTAGTAAACGTTTCTGATGTAAATATCACTCAAAACTACTCAAGAATCGTGAGCAGTGAGGAGGTCTTGTCATGGATCAGTTGTAAGAGCAATGAATAATAACTTGACTTCTAGTTGATCATTTGCAAAAGTGTCTGAAGGTTGATTTTTCTGATGAATCATCTGTTGAACTGCATCTCAATCATCACACATACTGCAGAAGACCTACTGGAACCCACATGGACCCACGATTCTCACAGCAATCAGTCAAGTTTTGTGAAGGAGAAATCATGGTTTGGGGTTATATTCAGTATGGGGGGGGGGGGGGGGGTGGGTGCGAGAGATCTGCAGAGTGGATGGCAGCATCAACAGCCTGAGGTATCAAGACATTTGTGCTGTCCATTACATTACAAACCACAGGAGAGAGCAGATTCTTCAGATGTCCACATCAAAGTTCCTGAAAGCAAAGAGGGTCAAGGTGCTCCAGGATTGGCCAGCCAAGTCACCAGACATGAACATTATTGAGCATGTCTGAAGTAAGATGAAGGAGGAGACATTAAAGATGAATCAAAATGAATCTGGGAGTCCTGCAATAACGCTTTCTTTGGCATTCCAGATGACTTTATTAATAAGTGATTTGAGTCACTGCAGAGATGTATGGATGCAGTCCTCCAAGCTCATGGGAGTCATACACTATATTAACTCTTTTTCCACTGCACCATGACTTTATATTTTATACAGTACATTATTTCTGTTAAGTGACAAGACTTTTGTCTGAGCAAAGTCTGACCTTACTGTCCTAATGAAATCATTCAAAATCAAGGCATGGTCATATTTTATTTTGGTAAAATAAGCGTAATCTAGAGGCCTTTGCCTTTCATATGAGCCACTTCTGATCCCAAATGATCAACTAGAAGTCTAGTTATTATTTGTTGTTCCTTAAATTTGGATAGGCGACAAGACTTTTGTCAGGTAGTGTAATCCACTGTACAGGTTTGTGCATTTGTTTGTAAACGTAACATTCTTAGTGCATTTAGTTATCGTTAAAGGCCACCATACAGTAAACATCAGTGACATGCAGTCTAGGCAGTCTCTTGGTATCGATTCTGTGTCTTGAGGTTGTTCTGTATGATGCAATTTGATTGGACGGGAATTACAGAACTGATTATTCTACTTTAGCCAATCACCACTGACAAGAAGAAGAAAAAGTAAAGTAGTGACTGCAGGTTGAAGGAAAACAGTAGAGTAAAAGTACTGATACAGCGCTAAAGATGTATTCAAGTGTAAAAGTACAGATTAAAACTACTTAGTGAAGTAGTAAAAATATATTTAGAAAACCAACTCAGTTACTGTAGTTTAAGTATTTGTAATTTCTCACTTCACACCACTGATTGTAAATTTAGTGTACATATACTGTAAGCGATGTAAATGTTAAGCTTTACCTGGTCCCGGAGTTGTTATTGGTTACTAAACCATATATTAATATTGGATTGACCTACACTGTAAAAAAAAATGATAGGTGCCATACAATGGATTTGTGTTGGGACATTAATTTATTCATTCATTCATCTTCTTGTCGGCTTAGTCCCTTTATTAATCTGGGGTTGCCACAGCGGAATGAACCGCCAGCTTATCCAGCACATTTTTACGCAGCGGATCCCCTTTCAGCCACAACCCATCTCTGGGAAACACTCACTCATACAATGTGGACAATTTAACCTAGCCAGTTCACCTGTACTGCATGTCTTTGGACAGTGGGGGAAACCGGAGCACCCAGAGGAAACCCACGCAAACGCAGGGAGAACATGCAAACTCCACATAGAAACACCAACTGAGCCGAGGCTCAAACCAGCGACCGAGCAACTTTCTTGCTGTAAGGCAACAGCACTACCTACTGCGCCACTGCGTCGCCCACTGTGTTGGGAAAACATGAATGAATTAGGTTTGACAAATTTAAGTAGATTAAACATAAAACAAATAAGTTGTCCCAACAAAACTCAAAAGTTGTGTGGTTTCAGCTCATTTTAAATAAGTAGTTTGAACAAAAAACATACTTTGATAGTAAAAAGAATCAACAACAGGAAGAAATGCTGCAAAAATATCTGAAATAAACAAGTTTCAGAAACTAAACATAACATATCAATGACATAACAAATCTCCAAAAATTCTAATATTTTAGTAAAGCGGACATTCTAACAACAACATAAAATCAAAATAATAAGAAATGCAGTAATAGTTTAACATTTCTACTTCTTTTTATTTACTTTATTTTATACAATTTTGAAGCTCGCTGAAAGGCCCTGCTTCAGTTCATTAATGTTAATTTATCTGATAAAATATTTCCTAATAAAATAAAAAAATATCCTTAAAAAGCAGCTTCTTATTGGTTGCAGGAGGTATTCTGGGGTGGGCATTCTCATTCTAAAGCACATTTGATTAGACAAAAATCTGTAGCACATGATGAGTCATCAAAATGTTTCATTCGTTTTTCTGGAAGACAAAATTTGACTAAAAGTGAACCATGTAGATCCCCTCACAAATAGTTCAGGCTGGTTCTTGTGCCTAAAAATTAAATGTACAAATATTCTCAAATGATTTAACATTATAAAATCGCATGTAAATATATGTACATAAGGCAAAAGCTATATAGATGTCTTTAAAGTAAAATGAAAATCTATTGGTCAAGCTAATTAAGGGTGACTGATCAGATGCATTTATGTTAATTTTTTGAACTGGCTATTTTTAGTTGACTATAAATCACATATTTTATCTTAAATGGGCATAAAGAACAAAAAATATTTTAAAAGTCAAAAATGGCTTTCAATGTGTAACCTTATATCATTTTCCCTCTGGTTTTTGTCTTTTTTTTGTCATATTTTATGTATTTAATTTATTTATTTTTCTTTAAAATTGTATATTTATAATGTAAAACCATATCTGTATTTTTTCTAATGTTCTAAGTTGCTGCAATCTTGTATTGTTGTTAACTGTTTTTTAAATCAATAAACAAGCTCACTTTTCGTGCCTACTGTTTCTGTTATTGGCGGTCTAGCGCCACCGTGTGACTGTATACCAAACTGCAGTCATACAGCTATGATGGTTCTCTCTATAAAAAAAACACACTGTTGAGTTGTTTTCAGAAATTACCTTGCTTATACGAGGCAAGGACCATATCGCGGTCCTCCACGTCTAACACAGTGTCTATATCAATGCTGGTGGTGCGCAGGATTCTTGCAACCTCCGCCGCGTCGTTACGCAAGAGCGCGTCTAGAAAGCGCGCCTTCAGCAGACCGGCAGCTTCGCGCCGCGACTGATCCCGTTTCTCCTCCTCGTCTAAACCGAGAACAGCTCGAAGCCCGCTCATATCTCACAAAGGCGGCAGTGCACTGGGTAATCCACGAGAAAACACTTTAAGTTATTCCCGAAGTTTGTGAATTGCAGTGGTCTGGAGCGTGGCTGTGAAACTCAATCGTGGAGTCACTCACTTCAGTCCGACTATTAATAGACTGTGAGGGGGAAAGAGGTCAAAGCAAACCCGGCAAAAGCTTAGGCCTTGTCCAGTTATATGGGTCGCACTAATGGTACCCTATACTAATTGAACCGATAAGTTAGGCCTACTAATTAATCTTAAAAGAGCGGACAATTATATAATGATTTGGAAGGATGTGGAAAAGGAGTAATGATGCTGAAACATACTCACAAGTTGTTTTACATACATACATGTTTTACAATATTCCACAATACTATAAAAATGTGTGTGTCACTTTGGAGGATTTTTTTTTTTTTTTTGGCATTCTGATAGACTTCAAAGATCTAAAAAGAGATTTTCTAAAACCAGCGATATTATTTTGGTTATTTTTTATCAAAATAAAAGTCTCTCACCTTTCCTGACCTGATAGCTTGCAGTGCTCATGATTACAATAACGGTATTAGTTAGCAGTGTTTTGTGTGAAAACAATGGAAAATATGCTGGTCTTTGGAAACTCAGGTCACCAGCCTTTTGCTTTTTCCAACGCAATCTCATGGCAATTTGTAACTTTTTGATTTAGTGGCTAATTCGTATGAATTTGTAAGATCTAATTTGTACAATTTAGTATGATTTGCTCATCACCCAATGACGGTTGTAGTTAGGGGTGGGGTTGGGTACCTCGCCTCCTTTTTAAAATCGTACATTTTTGTGCGACTGAACTCGTACGAATTTGTATGTATTAGCCACTAAACTGACAAAACATAAAATACTTACGTTTCCTCGTGAGATCAGGCTGGCAGTTCACTCTTAGCAGCAAGTATAAAGATGTCGTTCGATGACAATGTTTGTTAATGTGCACTTTTAGAACATTTTTCCCAGGCTGGGAGATGACCAGCTAGCTTGACCAGCCTCGCCTGTTAAAGTTGGATTTAGCTGGTCATTTTTCAGCCTGACCAGCTAAGACCAGGCTGAAAATGGCTGGAAACCAGCCTGGAAATGGCCAAAACCCCTCTAAAACCAGGCTGGTTGACCAGCTAAACCCAGCCAACCGGCGGTGTCGCTAATAACAATCATTCTCATTTCCTTTCTTTGGCTTTGTCTCTTTATTCATCAGGGGTTGCCACCATACCTGCCAACACTCCCATTGTTTCCAGGAGTCTCCCATCTCCCGCCACCCTCCCGTTTTGTTATTTCTCCCGGAAAACTCCCGTAATTTCAACCCCTCCCCCACCCACATGGTCCTTAGCATTTTGGTACAATCTGTGAAGCGCTTGGGTCGCCAACTTTGGTATAAGATCCCATCGCAGCGGCCTCCTGAAACACGCTCCATAGTACAGTTACTAACACCACAGTACAGTTAGTAACACAACAGTGCACAGTACCCGGCTCTCAACAGTGTAATTCAGACACCTCGACCCCGAACCCAACCACCACTTCTCCAGAAATTTTAGGGACAAACGTTGGCAGGTATGGTTGCCACACCGGAATGAACCGCCAACTTATCTAGCAAATGTTTTACATACGTATCAGATGCCCTTCCAGCTGCAACCCAGTACAATGAAACATCCATACCAACTCATTCACAGACACACACACACACACACACACACACACACACACACACACACACACACACACACACACACACACACACTACGACTAATTTAGTTTATTCAATTCACATATAGCACATGTCTTTGGACTGTGGGGGAAAGCGGAGCACCCGGAGAAAACCCAAACCAACACGGGGAGAACATGCAAACTTCACACAGAAATGCCAACTGACCCAGCCAGGACTCGAACCAGCAACCGTCTTGCTGCCCCAAATTAATTCTCAATTATATGTATTTTAAATGATTCTTCATTACTTTTCTCTTACTGTAAAATATTTACATTACAAAAATGAGTCGAGACAGGTTTGGAATGATCTTTCGTTGTATTTCTCAGACCAAATATGTCATTTGAAGTGTATTTACAGTCCAACATGACAAACTTTCACAAGGCGTTTAAATTTCTCATGAACAAAAATAAAGGATAGGATTTAGTAGCTCTGGAAAGAACGGGTATGGCACATTGAGGTCCCTCATGCGGGTATGATGAAAGAAAACACACAGGTTGGTTAATGCTCTTTTCTCAGGCGTTGCGTGCAGTTCCTCTATATACCCTGACCGTAAAAAAAATAGCCCATGAAAGAGAAGCACACACTTCTGTCCCTCAGGTCCGTACGTGATTATCCCTGCACGCAGACACATTCAGACAAACAGACCCGGTCTTCGGTCTCCTCGCAGGATTGATATAAAAACAAAAGCGCCGGGTTTAAAAGCTATTGCTTAACTTTCATATACAAAAGTCAGTACATGGATAGGCGGGTTAGATTTGGATCTACAGCAGGTTATTCTTCACTCGATTCATAGCAGAGGGCTAGAGAGGATTTCGTAATATCAAGACGAGCGTCTCTTTGCGATTACAATAATAAAGATATGTTCACAAGAGCATCGTGGGTTAATGAAGAAACATACAATCAACAGATTCACCTTTTTTTGTGTGATTACAAATTAAAAATGTTTTTTTGTTTTTTTGGTAATCATTTTTTTGCTTCAGAAATAAATAATATGCACTGATTTACAAACACGTCTTTGATTGGGAAAAAAAATATATAAATAGACGTATGACAGACGTTAAATTATTAGAGATAAATAATACAGTAATTAAAAATGAATATACATTGAAGCCCGAAGTACACATCAGGGTTTTTTTTTTTGCGTATGTGAGCACACATTTCATTAAAACTCATACTTGTACTGTGAATTTTTGCACTACCAAGTTTGTCCACAAGGTGTATGGGAAGCTGCTTTAACATTTAATCCAACTTGATACAAAGACTACACAAGACATGTCACTCGTTTAGTTTTGAATGGGGAAAAATGTAATGGCCAGTTTCCAATGAATGGTACGATACGGTTAAGTTCAGTACACTTTTATGGCCGTTTCAACTGTCAAAAGTCGTACCAAACCTAATCATACAGTACCACTTTTGCAAAGGGTACCAAAAGGCAGGACTATCTGAACGCTATTGGTTTACAGAGATACGTCATTCGCTCACCCAACAAGTCAGAATGAAAACAATGGAACCGCCATGTTTAAAATACACAGCGAGAGATTACAGCGTAATTATATATACGTATAATAACGAGCCATGGTCGACCAGAGATAAAACAAACCTTGTCATCGTCTTGATGAACACCCACAAAGCCAAGAAGAAGAGATTTTACACTGCGCCCCTTAGTTTTTTACGAGCCAGTCTGAAGCACGAGCGGTTTCGATTTCTTGCTTGCACTCGCTGAGCATCTATATTTGAAATAAGAACTTCTTGAGCTGATCAGAATAACAGGCACTTTAATTTTGAAACCCGATCCTGTCAGAAACTGACAAACGTGAGAGGGACACGCAAAAAAACTAAGGAGAAGCCGTAAAAATAGTAGCACATTATTTTTTCAGCAAACATGATCAAACTGCCATGTATAGCTATTATTATTATCTTTTGGACTATTATGAACTCAGAATGGTGGAATTATTCTCTAACAATGCGCTAGTGAAGATTACAGACACAGATGAGAGGTCTGCTCTGACTGTGGCCTATATTTTGTGCTGTTTTTAAACCTAAATAAGGACTAAATGTCTGCTGCGTGTAGTTTTTCTGTAGTTGGTAACATATCGGAGACTGTAAGGGTCTGTATGTGCTCATATTTGTTGCATTTACATATTTATTTTATATAATTACAGACGTCACAGTAGGCTATTTCGCACTCGTCATTGATCTGCAGTTATAATCAAATAATGTTCATAGAAAAGTTAAGGCCCGTGCACACCGAGACGCTTTTTTGCTCACGTTTTCCGTCGACGTTTAACGCCTTTTGACTAAATAAGAGGGTGTCAATGTGATCGTGCACACCAATGCCCAAAACGTCAGGCGTAAAAGCATCATTTAAAGAAAATAAAGGCCTCATGCTTGTTTTTTTGTTTTGATGCGCCACGTCAAAACCTTCTCTATCAATCAGGTTGGCACTTTTGTTCACGCGCATGGAGCTGCTAAAGTTAGTAAACAGCACTTGGACAAAATTGTCAATGCGAGCGCACATTTAAGAAGATGCCCAGTGGCGATATGAACGTGTAGCTGTTTATTGCACTGGTGAACAATTTCCATTTCTTCATAGCTAGAGCTGGAGCTGCTGCTTAAACCATCCAAGACAAAAACTATGTCAACTTTGTCTTCTTCTTCTGTGTTAAAAGCGGGTGTCAAAAGCTTACAGTTGTGTAGCGCCACCTAACGTCAAGGAGTAATTTTGCATACTCGACGCCAGAGAAAATCGATTGGGTTTGAATCCGGAAAAACGTCTCAAAAAAGCGATGACGATAAACGCAAACGAAAAGCGTTCTGGCGAGCCTTTGGTAATAAACATTTATACACAAGTATTTATGTGTATACAGCATCTGTTTTGTGAGAAGTGCTTCTCATATGATGTGTTAGCGACCTGTACAGCTTTACTGTAGACATTTTCTTGAGCGAAAATGACGTTGACTGAAACTTTCGTACACCACGCCCACCAAAAGAGTACCATTAGTACCCTTTTAGCAGTGGAAACGCAAGCTTGATAAAGGTGACCCGTACCGACCCGTATTGTACCATACTGTACGACTCGGCCATAATGGTCAATATGGCGAATGAAGCCCCGCCTACTAGTACAGGAGCCAATCATCGATCAATGTTTCTCTGGGGGGAAATTTTGGATCAGACGTGTGCTTTTACAGCAGTTTGGTGGTAAACAAACACACTGGAATCTCAGTGAATATTTGCTTTCCAGACTTGAGAAATATATCCACTGCACATAAAGCTTGAAATGTTTTTTTGGTTTTGTAATTTGGATGAAACCAACGCGAGATACAGTCCATCCTTTCAAACGCACATCACATGACAGCAAATACTCCAATGCTCACAAACTTGTAAACAAAGAGCCGCTGTTATTTCTGGAGGACATTCGCCATCAAGACCAAAAATTTTTACATTAATGTGTTGAGTTTAGGGTTGGGGTAGATGTTAATAAAATACAATTTATTGGGTAATTTAATAAATAATATTAATAATACTCTGTATAATTACGGCTTTTACATTACTGTGAGGGTTGAGGTAGACGTTAATAAAATACAATTAATAGATAATTTAATAAATAATATACATTTTTCTTATTAACTTTCGGCCACAGCTGTATCCCTTTTAGCAATGACTTTTTCACTCTCTTACCGTTAGTTTGCTATGAGGGAATGAGGTGCAAAAGAAAGCCCCGCCCCCTCAATATTCAGTACCAACCAGAAGTATGGCAACATACTGAAATATCTCATCCACTTCCGGTTCTTATAGTTACACGTGGACTATTAGTACCACTAACAAATAAATATTAGTATCTCATTAATAGTATCTTTTAAAAAGTAATGAATTTGTTCTAATATATTATTTCATATAAAAGTTACTAGTAACTAATAAGCTTTAAAATAGATACTATTGGTTCGTTTTTAGATTAAATGTTAAAACAGAGTGCCATACAAGGTGAACCGTAACAACAATGTACACTCACCGGCCAATTTATTAGGTACACCTTACTAGTACCAGGTTGGACCCCCTTTTGCCTTCAGAACTGCCTTAATCCTTCATGGCATAGACTCAACAAGGTACTGGAAATATTCCTCAAGAGATTTCGGTCTGACATGATAGCATCACGCAGTTGCTGCAGATTTGTCGGCTGCATATCCATGATGCGAATCTCACATTCCACCACATCCCAAAGGTGCTCTATTGGATTGAGATCTGGTGACTGTGGAGGATATTTGAGTACAGTGAACTTATTGTCATGTTCAAGAGACCAGTGTGAGATGATTTGCGCTTTATGACATGGCGTGTTATCCTGCTGGAAGTAGCCATCAGATGATGGGTACACTGTGGTCATACAGGGATCGACATGGTCAGCAACAATATTCAGGGAGGCTGTGGCATCAATAAGGGATTTGCGCCCACAGAACTGCCACTCACTAGATATTTTCTCTTTTTCAGACCATTCTCTGTAAACCCTAGAAATGAAAATCAGCAGTTTTTGAGATACTCAGACCCCTCCATCTGGCACCAACAACCATGCCAGGCTCAAAGTCACTTCAATCACCTTTCATCCCCATTCTGATGCTCGGTTTGAACTGCAGCAGATCATCTTGACCATGTCTACATTTCTAAATGCATTGAGTTCCTGCCATGTGATTGGCTGATTAGAAATTTGCGTTAACAAGCAGTTGGACAGGTGTACCTAATAAAGTGGCCAGTGAGTGAAGGCAAAACCAACAGACTGGGTTGACGCGACTACTTTAAAAGTTTAAAGTAGTCTATCGAAGCTTATAAAGAGAAACAGTGAAGACGATGGACAAGTATGAGTCTTTCTATGTGTCGAACACCTGCCAAAAAGCCCAAAACGAAGCATACTTTAGGCTTTACATTTGAGTGCTTGTAATAAAATCCACTTGGACATCAGGCACTGCCTAATGTGCTCTGTACACTGCTCACTGAAGCTGCCTTCGTGTTGCTGAGGAAATCATAGAATAATCCTTAAGATGTAAACATGAACGATAGATGTATCATAACTGAAGGGAGAACAAGACTAGGCAGGTTAAATCGGGCAGTGAAAAAAAAACGCATAACTGGCAAAGCAGAGTCTGAAATGCGAAAAAGCATGTCTATAGGCTTCTGTGTTTTGTATACTTACAATATGGGAGATGTGTTGCATAAATTTGAAAATACAACCCAGGATAAATCAATAGAGGCGATACTGGTTACTCTATATGCAGCAAATTGCAATATAAAACACTTCTTTACCACATTACGATTCTCTCTTTGTGAATCTGAAAACTAACGGATTAAAAAAAAAACATTGGGATCAAACTGAGGCGTACACTACTGTTAAACAGTGTAGGGTTAGTAAGATTATTCACTTTGTAAGAGGTTTCTTATGCTCACCAAGGCTGCATTTATTTCACAAAATGTTTTACTAAAGTATTTTGTTTTATTTATTTACTTGTGTGTGTGTGTTTGACTGTGTTTGGCGGGGTGTATCTGTTTATCAGATTTTTAATATTTTACCTAATATTGTTGTTGTTTCTTAATATTTGTTTCAAGAGTTCACACTTAGCTGATGATTGATCATAAAGTGTGTTTGTCATGCTGTCCCGGGAGAGAGCCTTAAGCTCAGAATATCCTTAGGCCCAGGGCTCCCTCACGTTCGAAGGGCGAGAGGAGAGTTTGAGCTCAAGTAGGTCTTGAGAACTCCCCTGCTTATGAATGTGTTAGGAATAGCTAAGAGATATAGCTGGCTACAAGTTTTTCTTATGAGGCCACTTTGGATTAGTCAAATTACTCATATGTTATTTCTTTGGATGGTGAGAGGAAACTGGGGAAGACCCAGGGAAAACCCATGCGAGAACAGGGAGAACATGCAAACTCTGCAAAGGCCGACTGGCTCTGTAAGGATTTGAACCAGTGGTGTTCTTGCTATGAGTGCTAACCTCTGGGCCACTGTGCTGCCCTATCAGGAGAAGGGGGAGGAGATGGGGTGGAAGGGGGATTCTTCAAGACGAAGATGACTGAAGTGTAAAACTGGTCATTTTTAGTAAGTTAATATTCATCTGATTGGCGCGATATGTGAAGCTGATGCAGGACCAGCTGTGATCAATCATAAGCACATGATCCTCTCTGAATTAGTTTATAAATAAACCGCACTTATGTTTGTGAAGCTTTAAGTTAGGAAAAGTGCTATACAAATAAAATGTACAGGATTCATACACATTTTTATTACTCAAATTCCAGGACTTTTCCTGAACTATCAAGTAAATTTTCAGGACCTAATTTTTTATATAATGTCTACGTATACCAGGTAAATAATAAAAAAACAATGCAAGATCACATTCATTAAAGCAAAATATAAAACACAAAACAATCTATTTAGGTTAAATTAATTTTTTATCGATGTAAAATTGATTTAGCTAATGCTTACAGAGCACTAATAATGCAAGCGCATGTGTTTGGCCAAAGACAGAATATAAGTAAAGACAGCTGACTTATATTCAAGTATACAGATATTTGTTCAACTAATTTTCTTGACTTTGTGGGTTTTTCTTTTCCCAAAACTTTTCAAGGCCTGGAAAATGCCATGTCGAAATTCCATGACTTTTGCAGTTTTTCCATGACCGAATAAACCCTGAATGTATGATTATGTATTATTAAATATACGTTAAAACAGTAATAATTTAAAGTATGTAATAATTATGCAAGTTTTAAGAATTTGTTTTTCTTTATTACATTTTTAAATGATAAATGTGCTTCTGGTCAATTTGATTAATTATTTGTCGTGTCAATTTCTTGTTAATATATGACAGTTTTTATTATTTATTTATTAATTTATTTAGTTTGCATATGTTTATCTCACACTCATTGAATTACATTCCTTCGGCTTAGTCCCTGTTACTCAGAGGTCGCCACAGTGTAATAAATCATCAGTTATTTTATGTGGTGGATCCATATCCAGCCAAATATTTGTATCTTATCAAAATAATAAATAAACACAAATTAAATGCATCCTTGGTGAATTAAAGCATTGATTGCTTATAAATAAATTAATAAAATTAAATGAATACATCTTACTGAACCCAAACTTTTCACCAGTAGTCCATATATAGGTCTGTTTTAAAGGAACACTACACTTTTTTTTAAGTAGCCTCATTTTACAACTTCCCTAGAGTTAAACAGTTTTACCATTTTCGAATTCATTTAGCCAATCTTTGGGTCTGGCAGACACACTTTTAGCTTAGCTTAGCTTAGCATAAATCATTGAATCGGATTAGACCATTAGCATCTCGCTCAAAAATTTAAAAAAATTAATACTTAGTTAGTTCCTAAATTAGTTCCTACACTAAAAGTGCTCCCGCCACACCCTAAGATCATCTGAATGAATAAAAAAATGGTAAAAATCGACAGTTTAACTCTAGGTGACTTGTAAAATGAGCGTTTTTTCCAAAATAAAGTGGCGCTTTCTTTCAAGTGCACATTTGTCTTCTGCGCTACTACATTTTTAGATGTAGCCGCTTAAACAGAGGTGTGTTCACACAATCTGTGCAGTCCAGACAGTAACGACAACCCATATAAATAAAGTAAAAGTCTAAACAGCACTTGAAAAGGCAGCACTTGGGTCTAACTGAGAATCTTCCTCAGAGCGATGGACAGGACAACAAGCAGGTCGCTATGGGACAGAAGCAGCTTTTATACAAGTCTCGCATCTTTGGAGAAGAGTTCAAAATGGCGGATTCCTGAAATCGCATCTGCTATCGCCAACACAACCTCCAAAGAACAAACACGCCAAGCTGTATTTGACTTAAATACTGGCAGATCCGTACAGTAGTGAAAGTCTGCAAATTCGCTTTGACCCGGAATGGCTTTCTTTTCACAGTTTTTCGTCAGTGACTCGGACTGTAGTGGTTCTCATGAGCAGCACTCAAACTCTGTGAGGTGAAGAGAAAGTCGACGGAAACATCGTCCATCAATATGACCTGTGCTTTATCAAAGCCGATGCATTAAAAACGTTCTGCCCTCCATTAACAAACAAACTGGTTTGGATAGAAAAATGGCACGTTAGACACACTTCCTGCATATGTACATCGTCTAAAGGTGCTCAGTTATTATCTGTGGAGGATGACTTGATATGCTCTGCTTCAACATATACTGTACATATTCTCCATATGCAAATAAATAGATATCAATGAGACGTCAAACCAAAAGTGCAGCGATAATCCTGCTATAATGAGCTCAGTAGAAATAACGAATTCCTGGAAATTTTGGTTTTCGATTCATCTGATGGCAGCTCGGTAGCATGAAGCCCCTTTTAGGATGAACTCTGACTCTTGTGAAATGCTGAACTCATCTGTTTTTTGTAATGAAGCTGTCATTCGGTGGCGCCCTCTGCTGGTCTGGAGGAACTGCTGTTTTTGCGAGTTTGCTCCAGTTCCTTCTTGCGCTGCTTCTCTCGGTTTCTACGGGCTTTTTCCATCAACACTTTCAGATCCTTCAGCTTCTTTTTAATGAGAGCCCGATCTGAAGAAGACTCAATGCCCAGAGCCTGATAAACACACACACACACACACACCAGGTGTTGAGATGAGTCAGATGAAACTATGCTAATCTGTGGAAGATAACTTTCTTATCACAGTGGAAGCAGATGGACATGAATTATACAAAACACATTTCAGCATATGGCTGGATAATAGATGTTTATGCGATCAAAACACAACACAACTATTAACTGGACACAATTATTGTTGAAAATAATTGCAAAAAAAAGGAGAATCATTGAATAAAAGAATTACAGTAAAATGCAATTAATTATTGTTATAAAGTAAATGTGCAAATCTTCAATCCTAATAATGTAAACTTGCCTCAATAAACAGATTCTTTAAGTATATTATAGATTTTTTAAGATACTTATTATTATTATATGAAATATTTGATGTATTTTTGCAAGACTGAATTATGTGACATAAAATTAAATTTAATTTCTAAATAATAATTAAATAGAAATCATTTAATCATTTATTTATTATTGCATATTTCATATAATTAAACTGAAATATTGAGGCAATATGTCAAATAGTGGATGAATTTATCTCAACACATGTGCTCCTCACCTTGAGAGCGGTGCTGTCCAGCTTCAGAAGCTGCTCTCCATCCAAATTCTTGGCAGTAAAGAGAGACACGTATTGTTCCAAGTTCAGTCCCATGAGCCAGCAGGACACCTGTTGACACGTCCATTCAGTCACACTGCGGTTCTGCCACTGCTGTGGCTTCACTGGCAGACCCTCGTCCACAATCTGACAAACACATAGACTTACAATCAGCACTGATCCGTAATTAACGTTCACTGTCTTCCACATGCATTTCAAGAAAGCAGTATAAATGAAACCGTTGAAAATCAAGCAGAACATATTCAGGAAACAAATGAAATATTTAAAAAATATGGAACATATTTCATATGGAAAGCAAACGGAACATAGAAACAAAAAATTACCATATTAAGTTCTTGTCATTTTAAAACACTGTTTGAAACAAAAAACAAAAAGGACTTGCAAGAAATGATAGAACTAGACAAACTGAGCACTATAGAAAGGTTTTGCTGGGACTCAGTGGCTCATATGGAACATTTGGAACACATATTCCATATGGAACATACCCAGCAGACACAGGACACCAGGTGTATGTTGTCCCCCAATGTCGAGGGATGCTGCATTTTGGTTGGAACTGAAAATTGGATTGACGTCAGACCTCAATGTCAGACCGACATCAATGTCCAACTTCGGACAGATGTCACTTTCCAACCCAACCTAAAAACGACCAAATATTAACGTCTAATGATGTTACTGCTTGACATTGTGTACCAATATGACATCTATCAGAAATTAAATTTTGGTTGCCAAACCTGACGAATAAATGTCAATATTTGACGTCAATATGACGTTGGTACAGTATGAAAGATGTTGGCTCAACATTGGTTTTTGGTCACTTTCCAACACAACCTAAAATCAACAAAATATCAACGTCATTTGATGTTGTTACTGGATGTCAAAATAACGTTGCCTTTGGATGCTGAATTTTGGTCCCCCGACATCTCTTTGATATTGTGTGCCTGCTGGGTATAAATCATATAAAGAACGTGGAAAACAACTGGAAAACAAACAGAACAACGGAAACTAAAGTACAATATATAGAGTTCCCGTTCTTTCAAATCATATTGTTCAGAACAAAAATGACTGAAATGAAATTGTGGAACTAGACTAACTAGGAGTGCTGTAGGTAAAAAGAAAAGTCATGCTGGGAATCAGGGGCTTATATGAAACATTTGGAACATAGATAAAATATATCATATAAATTTGAAGTCAGAATTATTAGCCCCCCTTAATTTTTTTCTTTTTAAAATATTTCTCAAATTATGTTTAACAAAGCAAGGAAATTTTCACAGTATGTCTGATAATATTTTTTCTTCTAGAGAAAGTCTTATTTGTTTTATTTTTACTAGGATAAAAGCAGTTTTTAATTTTTAAAAACCTTTTTAATGTCAAAATTATTATCCACTTTAAGCTATATTTTTTTCCTCGGTAGTCTACAAAACAAACCATTATTGTGCAATAACTTGCCTGATTACCCTAATCTGTCTAGTTAACCTAATTAACCTAGTTAAGCCTTTAAATGTCTCTTTAGGCTGTATGGAAGTATCTTGAAAAATATCTAGTAACATATTATGTGCTGTCATCGTGGCAAAGATCAAATAAATCAGTTATTAGAGATGAGTTATTAAAACTATTATGTTTAGAAATGTGTTGAGAAAATCGTCCCTCCATTAAACAGAAACTGGGGGGTTAATAATTCAGGGGGGGTAATAATTCTGACTTAAAGTTATGCTGGGACTCATTTCATTTCATACTACCCTAGCAACTTTTGGCCAGCGGAGAAATTAAAATGGTCGTGCCGAACTGAGTCTGGTTCTCTCAAGGTTTTTTTTCTTCACTCTCCTATTGGTGAAGTTTTTTTTCCCTCTCCGCTGTCCCCACTGGCTTGCATGGTTCAGGATCTGAAAAGCTACTCATCGATGAATTTGCTCTTCAGTGTTTGGATTCTCAATAATGACTTCAAACCACACTGAACTGAGCTAAACTGAACTTAAGCACTAAAACTGAACTACCCTGATCCAGTTACTATGACCATTTATGTAAAGCTGCTTTGACACAATCTACATTGTAAAAGCGCTATACAAATAAAGCTGAATTGAATTGAATTTGGAACACATTCCATATGGAATATAAAAATCATATAGAGCATGTGGAAAACAAATGGAACATATTTTTTATGAAACATAAAGGGAAAATAGGGACTACAGTAATATGAAATATGCCTAATGTGGAAAAGGGTAAATAGGGACTATAGATCCCATATAGAACACATGGAAAACAAAGGCCACGTATGGTAACAAATGTGACATATATTGAGTTCTTACTGTTTAAAAATAGTTTTTAACAAAAAGATTGTGGAAGAAATGCCAGAACTAAACTAACAATGAGCGCTGTAGGTGTGAAGAAAAATCATGCTGGGTCTCAGTGTCTCACCTCATCCTCTATCATATCCACACTCTGATAAACGCAGCATAAAGGACAAGAGAAACACTCGCTGAGTCAGAAAACATTAACTTATAAATTAGTGGTTCACAAATGTTTTTATCCAAGACATAAAAGACATTCTTAATATATCTGCTACGAACTATAGAAACTATAAATCAAACTTAAAAAAGTAAAATAAAATCCATAGGATAACAGAGTCTAAAGAATAACAGACAATTTCCAGGCAGAAAAATAATAAAAAATCATCTTGATTAACAAAGTTGTAGTTTACAACCTGTTAAAATAAAAATGTAATTTTGTATTATTAATTAGTTGATTAAAATGTCTATGTAGTATTTAATAATGTTTTAATGCTGTTATTTTAGCACATCATTTGCAACAAGCTGAGATAAAATAGGTTTACTTTAAATAGCACAAGTTAAAAAAAACACAGTAAAGACCTCATCAGAGGAGAGTGTGAGGGTCCGCGATCGTCCGCTCAGGACCCCACTGATCTCGGTCGAACTCGAACTGCTGAGACTGAGTTCATCTGACACACCCGGACCCTGCAGGAGACGCACACACGTAAAACACAACCCTCATCTGACTGACACGCTTATCATTCTCTCTTCGCCATAGGTATTTATTTATTATTTACTTAATTCTGATTGTATTATCGACTATGACAGTAGATTATCAGTGTAATTACTGCTGATTGACAGTTAAGTAATTAGTAGGATACAACATGCAAAACCCAACAAAAAGTCTATAAAAACTGTCACTCAGATGATTATTGTGATCATTTAACCCTGAGTAAAGTGATTAGCATTTTAAAATGACGTTCAGACTGTAATCAGCTAACACAACCAGTCTGTAAAATGATTCTGGGAAGATGAACACAAGGTCACGGTGAATCAAGCAACTTTATTTGAGGGGTGTTAAACTGCACAAACATGACACTTTTACCCGTGATGGTCTATTTACACATTTCGTGGTTTCACAGTAGTGGAAGTCATGATAGCTGGTAGGGGTGTCAAAATTTATTGTTTCTTCGGTGCACCACGATGCAGACGCGGACAATTCGGTATTGCTTCAGTAAAAATCATAACCGGTTATTATGTACAGGCATCATTTATCTTATATGCACTATGTCGCCATAGTAAGCTATGAGTGTAAGTATTTACAACGCTCCAACTACTTAAAAACACAGAAACTGTGCACAATTTCACTGCGTGTGTGTTTGCTGGACGTTTATCTGTGTTTAAACCAGCCTTTACTCATCTGTGAAGAATACCAGCCCGTAGAGCCAATTGCAGCCCTTTCAGTTGAGCGCGTGACCAATCAAAGGACTGTAAGAAAGGACTTTCTAGACAAGGCTCAGAGAGTAAGCAGGATATTTATATTTGTTTATTTGCTATAAATGTTCATCTTGTTTATGTGCAGTGTTGCCAACTTGGCAATTTTGTTGCTAGATTTAGCAACTTTTCATACTACCCTAGCAACTTCTTTTCCCCTAAAAACACCTAACTACAAATTAAGCAATTTTTTACATTAATTTGGCTACTTTTAGCAATTTATAAAAAGTAACTCAAAGGAGCGGTGGCTGCAGGCTTCACTCAACACACACTTATCACATTCAAGTTAAATTGCCAGCTCAGATTGTTTTTCATAACTGTTAATTTACTGATATTTGTTAACGTGTAAAATTGTTGATCATTCAGGAAACAATAAATTCCAATAGTGCTATAATTGCTGTCGCTTTCGGAAATGTGTTACTTTCACAAGGTAAAAAAAAGGAAGTACACAAACTGTGATTGTTTAAAATAATGTAACTGTTCATTATCAGTGTTATATTAAAAAATTAAAAAATCTTATCAAAAAGTGTTTGTATTACTTTTACAAATAGTCAGCTATATTTTCATACAAATTTAAATAGACATATTTTTAAATAATGTTTTTGCTGAGATGGCCAGTCAATTTGAGAAAACATGAATTATTTTGTATACTACATAAAGATGTAGTAAGTTGCTTTAAGTTGTAGTAAGTAAGATGTTTTGAGTTGCGATTACACAATAACGTCATTACGCAAAGCAATGTTAATAAGAACCTATTTATTGTGCATCTGGATGTAATGTTTTATTATAACGTAATAAACGGCGCCTCAGAAAATAGTGACATGACGGGCTTGCGCTTGTCAGATACAATGTGATGACGTCACTGATATGCAAATTAAAAATGTAAAAAATGCACAAACTCTTTTGAATTTAAAGCGACAGTCACTGAAAATAGCACAATTAGGATTAAAGTCTAAAAGGGGCAGTTTCTAAGAGGTTTAAAACATTATTTGTGTGGTATTTTGAGCTGAAACGTCACATACTCACTCTAGAGACATCAGAGACTTATTTTACATCCTATAAAAAGGGACATAATAGGTCCCCCCTTTCAAAACACATACGTGTCAATTGTAAATTCAGAGAACTGAGAATTTCCACACAGTCTTGTGTGTGTGTGTGTGTGTGTGTGGTCTTTTTGATGCCTCTCACCTTGCTCCTGCGTCTTTCAGGGCTGTTTTCTGCTGAAGGCCCTGTGGAGCTAAAGATAACACACTGGTTATTGAAGCAGACACAATACATGATCAGATCATATTCGCAGACCAGAGCTGCATTTAGACCATGCCTGCTTTATAGACTTAAGGTTCAGCTCTAGCATTCATTCAATTCATTTTCCCCCATTTGCATTGTTAAAAACTAATTGTAATTCGTTAGCTTAACACTTTGGGATTTGAGCAGTCATCCGTTTATCCTCAGAGGAAATAAAAACCTTTAGTTCGCCCTGCATCTGCGGAGACGTTCCCCTTAATCATTGATTAGGCAACTCTCTGAATCAGTGAAGGTTCATTCACATGCAAAAATGTGTGTGTATGTCCTGCAGTCTGGCACAGCTGAGACGTCCAGTGCAGTTCATATTCATTAGGCGCGCAAGTTCAAGAAAAATTAAATAAGGAGAAGAATTACACCCAAGGATATTATCTGACCAAATCAGTGCTGAAAAACCAAAAGGTGCACAAAAATTACATCTTCTAGTTACTTTTAATCAATCTCCAGGGACACCTATCATCACAGATTTTGTGCATTTTTATTATTATTATTTCTTTTTGTTTGGATTTATAGTAAAATCTTTTAGTCTTGAATCTAACAAAGGATCTGAAAGTTCTTGTAGCAAACTTAAGTGCGAGTTGCTTCAAGAAAGAACCGTTCATTTGTGTATTTTTTTATTCTTCATTTAATTATATTATTTAATCACGTGATCATTAGTCATGTATATAAATACCATCTTATTTTATTGATCATTAGTTAATGATTTGATTATTATTATTTGTAATTTTATTTTGTTATTTATATTTTATTGTTGCTATTTTCCTATAATTAATCCTTTGTTATTATTTCATTTTTCCATATTGTTATAATCTCATTGTCATGACTTTCAGTGACCACCTAAGGGCGCTGTAGTTCTACGGACACTGAGTTGGAACTACAGCGCCCAAAAGGACTACAAATCCATACATACCACACGCATACACCGGAACACATACACTGATTGTATTCACAGCTGTCTCCGTTTCTGTTGATAATCTAGACTATATATTCTACCTTCCACCACTGTTCGTGATTGCGTCGTTTGTCTTCCTTGTCAAGTTATCCAGTCAGTCTTGTATATCGAGTTTGTTGTTCCTGATCTTGTTCTTGTATCCTGCTAAAGTCTAGTTCGTGTTTATCTGCCTTAGTTTCTTGTTTTGTTTGTTTGTTTTTTATTTTGTTACTTTGCTCTTTGGATTTTTGGATTTTGTTCACTGTTACCGCACTTTTAATATTAAAATCTGCACTTGGATCTGCAATCTTTTGTTCCCGTTTTTGTTTCTGTTCTTGATCATGCTAAACGTGACACTCATGGCTGTGTGGATTGAAGCGACTCTTGTTTTCATGAGTAAGAGATAAGAGAATGTCTCCATTTCAAGTTCTGTATTGTCTCTTGAAAATGTTGTGAAGCTGTAATTTTCCATTGCTGTTGCTTGTGGTATAATAACACTTGTTGAATTTATCCTGGTCAGATGAAGTTTGAGCATTCAATCATATGCAACTAAGATTATTTAATAAACTCAGCTCTTTCCCTATCATCATTATTTCGTCTTCTGCTTCTGCTCCTCTCCAGCTTTCTCAGTCAACTCCTATATTGAAAGGAGATTGTTGGTTGGTTAATTCAGTTGAACACTGGTTAATAAGTTTGGGTTTTGATCGGCTCCGCTGAGTACTCAGAGAAACAGACATTTTCTGACAGGATCTGGTGTTAGATCTTATTTATCTGGCTTGGATAGTGTGATCTAACAGTCCCTTTCATTTATCTTGCAGTCTAGAGGAACTCTGCTTGAATGCACATACTTTACAATTCATAGGAATTATAGTTCACCCAAAAATAAAAGTTTGTTTGTAATTTACTTAAACTCATCCAGAACGTAAGCGACTCTATTTTCTGCAGTAGAGTTTTAGCTAAAATCAGCTAGAAGTTAACAGCCATCGACACTTTAAGAGTCAAAATCCAAATACAGGCAAAACAAAAATTCATACTAATTGTCTTTTGATGGTAAAACGAATGAATGTTTGTTTGTTTGTTTTTGTTTAGACCTGGAGTGTCAGACTTGCTGTCCTACACAGTTTAGTTCCAACCTTGCTTCAATACACTTACCTGGAAGTTTAAAACAAAATCAATTACAACTTTAATTAAGGTTAAAGCTAAACTGTGCAGAGCTGTGTACCTCCGGAAACTGAGTTTGACACCTGTGGTTTAGGAAATCCCTTTAAGCTCCAATGCATATATTCTGACATTGCTATGAAAAAAAAACATTTAAAATCTGATGTAGGCAGGCTGAAAGTTACCACTTATATGAGGAATCTAGTGCTCTAGTTACCTTTTACCGGGAGATCCTTTTGGGTCCTGGTCTGTCCCTTTACTTTTCCTCAGAGAAGATCTGAAAATATAAGCTTGTTAGAATTTCCAACAAGAGACAAGAACATTTCCTTGTATTGCATACAGTTTTTTTCATTGAATGTACTATGAAAAGTTGTGGGGTTAGCACGTTTTTAAAAATAATTTAGTATTTGAATAACCCCAAAAATATCAGTTTTTACAAAATTATTTAGCAACAAACTATTTTTGTCACTGAAGAAAATCATAATAAAACGGAAACTAAATCGTGTGACACTAATCCCGTAAAAATTTAGCTTTGCATCAAAGAAGTAAATTACGACTTAAAATAAATTTACATAGAAATAGTTTAAATGGTAAAAAAAAAAAACATATGAATAATATTGACCTTAAAATGGTTTTAAAAAAAAAGTAAAACCTGCTTTTATCCTAGCCAAAATAAAACAAATAAAATTTTATCCAGAAGAAAAAATATCATCGGAAATATTGTGAAAAATACCCTGCTCTGTTAAACATCATTTGGCAAATAAAAGATACATAATATTATTAACATAATAATAACAACTTTGACTTTAACTGTATATACACTAACTGGCCACTTTATTAGGTACACCTTACTGGGTTGGACCCCCTTTTGCCTACAGAACTGCCTTAATCCTTCATGGCATAGACTCAACAAGGTACTGGAAATATTCCTCAGAGATTTTGGTTCATATTGACATGATAGCATCACGCGGTTGCTGCAGATTTGTTGGCTGCACATCTCCAGTTCCACCACATCCCAAAGATGCTCTATTTTATTGAGAGCTGGTGACTGTGGAGGCCATTTGAGTACAGTGAACTCATTATTATGTTCAAGAAATGAGTCTGAGATGATCCACGCTTTATGACATGGTGTGTTATCCTGCTGGAAATAGCCATCAGAAGATGGGTACACTGTGGTCATAAAGAGATGGACATGGTCAGCAACAATACTCCGGTGGGCTGTGGTGTTGACAGGATGCTCAATTGGTACTAATGAGCTCAAAGTGTGCCAAGAAAATATCCCCCACACCATTATACCACTGTCCGCAGCCTGAACTGTTGATACAAGGCAGGATGGATTCATGCTTTCATGTTGTTGACACCAAATTCTGACCCGACCATCTGAATGTTGCAGCAGAAATCGAGACTCATCAGACCAGGCAACATTTTTGCAATCTTCTATTGTGGAATTTTGGTGACCTAGGTGTGAATTGTAGCCTCAGGTTCCTGTTCTTAGCTGACCGGAGTGGTACCCGGTGTGGTCTTCTGCTGCTGTAGCCCATTCGCAGTGTGATTGGCTGATTAGAAATTTGCGTTAACAAGCAGTTGGGCAGGTGTACCTAATAAAGTGGCCGGTGATTGTATATCTAATAAATAAACCCTTACAAAAACATAAACTAAATCTGACCAACTCCAAACTGCTGAACAGTAGTACACGTCAACATAAAGAAATTATCTGTATAATCTTCACATTTACAAATAAAACAATTAGTTCCAACCTACCCCAAGTCTAGTCGTTTGTTGCCAGATTTGTGATCTCGACTTGCTGAAGAGTCTGTAGAAAAATCCAGAAAAAAGGAAACAATCAGCGTTCAACAAGATTCAAACTTTACTTTCCAGAGGCCATATCAATTACACAACTTCACATGCTCTTATTATGTTCTCTTTTCCTTTGGGGTTTCTTCATCGAGTCTCCCAGGCCGTAAGCATAATTCATTAGGCCTGTAATTGAGCCCTAATCAGGTATTAATGGTTTGGAGCGTTTACCCTCATTATCAGGTCCCGGATGAGGCTGCAGGTGCCTGATTGTGGCCTCTGTGGCATCAGATGCTCTGGAGGACTGAGACTTGGAGCCCTACAAAGACACAAACACTTTAAATAGTCAAGAGAGAAAACAGTAGCACTTTCTGCTGAGCTAACAGTATTTCTTCCTGCTTCTTTCCTTCTGAGACATGCTGTTAGACACTAGTAGACAGAATGTGGAGGAGAATGACGTGTAGATTTTCAACACGCACTCGTGAATTGTTAAGCGTGAGATTAGAATTGTCTTCCAGTGTTTATCTGCGGATCAGGCTTGAATGTCGTGTGTCTGAATGAAGTGTGTGTGAGTGATTGTGTGTGTGTGTGTGTGTGTGTGTGTGTGTGTGTGTGTGTGTGTGTGTGTGTGTGTGTGTGTGTGTGTGCGTCTGTGTGTGTGTTTGTGTAAGAAAGTAAAAGTTTTACCCTCTCGTCTCTCTCTGTTTCACTGGCTCCTGTCAGCTCACACAGATCTGTAACACAAAGCACATCCATACAATTACATTACATAATATTAAACATAGGGTGTCACGGTGGCGCAGTGGGTAGCACGATCTCCTCACAGCAAGAAAGTCACTGATTCGAGTCCCGGCTGGGTCAGTTGGCATTCCTGTGTGGAGTTTGCATGTTCTCCCTGTGTTCGCATGGGTTTCCTTAGGGTGCTCCGGTTTCCCCCACAGTCCAAACACATACGGTACAGGTGAATTAAGTAAGCTAAATTGGCCGTGAACCCTTAAACAAAGTGAGTAAATCTATTGTCTTAGAAGTGACAAGGTGACTTAAAAGTAAATCACTTGTAACTTGGAACAGTTAAGCTTATTTCATTTTTTATAATTATACACATGGTTCATTTACTTAACTTACTTTAAGTAAAGTCAACTAATTGCTTTTTACAGTGTACCATACAAAGGTGTGAGGTCACAACACAGTTTTACAATTATTTTTTAAAACCCTCATTTTGCACCCATGAAAGAAAGCTTTGCTTGTCAAAATACCAGTTGTAAAATTTTCTTTATTGTCATTTTTATTATTGTTTTTATTATGATTGTTATTAGTATTTGTGCTATTAATGTTGTTGTTATCGTTTTATTATTATTATTATTGTTGTTGTTACTGTTGTTACTATTATTGTTATTATAGTTATTATTAATATTTGTATTATTAATATTGTTATGTTGTTGTTTTTGCTGTTGGCGTCGTTGATAGTGTTATTATTATTGTCATTATTATTGTTTTTGCTACTGTTGTTATTATTGTTGTTATTATAGTTATCATTATTGTTATTATTATTATTGTTATGTTGTTGTTTTTGCTGTTGTTGTCATCGTTGATAATATTATAATTATTGTTATGTTATTGTTGCTGTTTTTGCTGTTATTGTGGTTGCTATTATTATTATTATTGTTGTTATTATGAATATTACTATGTTTTTGTTATTGTTGTTTTGTTGTTGTCGTCATTAATATTATTGTTGTTATTTTTATGTTATTGTTATTATTGTTATTATTATTGTTGTTATAGTCGTTTTTGTTGTTGTTATTATTGTTATTATTATTATTATTATTTATAATGTTATTGTTATTATTATTATTGTTGTTGTTATGTTGTTGTTATTATTGTTATTATGTTATTATTATTGTTATGTTGTCGTCATTGTTATTATTGTTATGTTATTATTACTATTATTATTATTATTATTATTGTTATTATTATCATTGTTGTTATATTATTATTATATTATTATTATTAATATTATTATTATTATTATTGTTGTTGTTATGTTATTATTATATTATTATTACTAATATTGTTATCACTATTAATTATAGTTCCGTAGTATTTCAATGATTTATTTTATATTTTTTAAATAGATATTTTTGCTCATGCAGCTGTAGTCTTCACTGCTCTTTTACCAAGCACAAGGCTATTTTAACACAAAGCAAACGCATACATTTCCATTACAAGTATTCAATCAGCAGATGCTTTTGTCTAAAGTGACGTACAAATGAGGAAGCATACAGCAGCTTTAAGCAAAGACGGATATAAATCTGCAGGACAGCATCAAATATCGGGTACTCTGGCTGATGAAAACACATAATCCTACAACAGACCTCTGGCTAGTTTGTTTCTACGTTATTAGCTTGTGAAGTAGTGCCATATGCTGTTTATGCATATATGAAATCAGAAGGGCTTGTTTTGCTGGAAGCAGGACTGAGAGTGTTTCAGTTCCTGCAGCAGCACTTCCTTATAATCCGCCTCATTCAGTCACAATGCATCTGATCAGTTTTTCCAGCTCTGCGATTCAGAAGAGGCGGATTTAAAGAGCCGGTGACCCATTATGAGGTGTGAAGCTTCCAGTTTTCATGTCATTAACAAAGCCCAGTTTTGTGTGCAGCTGCCAGGTCAGAGATCAGAGTGGAGCGAAGTGAAAATTGAGTTTATTACAAACAGAAACGCTTACAAAACAGGCAGAAAGCACTGATATTTCGTTTGACACCAATGAGGGTGTGAGAGACTCTAGTGCAATCTGTTGAATGTGATGCACTGTTACATCCTGAGCAATATTTGATGATTATGTGTCATGTTGTGTACTGTGTTTTGAAATGGAGAGCATAATAATCATTACAAATGATTAGAACTATTACTACTATTACTATTACTGTCATCATTATGGATAATATATTAATTTATACAACAGTTCTGTCTGGTTCTTGAATCTGATATATATATATATATATATATATATATATATATATATATATATATATATATATATATATATATATATAACCCTAACCCTATGGAGTGTCCCTGTAATCCATGTTTACATTTGTGTGTGTGTGTCTCACCTCCTTCAGCTACATTTCTCCTTGAACACTGTAAGGCCATCAGTCTCTCCGTCAGCTGCGCTCTGCTCTCAGCACTGTTGTTGTTATTGTTTACTTGGATGCCATTTTGCTTCATCAGTTGCATCAGCTCTGACTCCAGAGTAGCAATCTAAAACATAGAAAGTTTTTTTTAATAATACACAGGAAAAAAAGTAAGTAAATGAATATTTAATTAATTTATTTTATTTTATTTAATGCCTAAAACCCCTTTTTAATTAATATATTTCCAGATGAAAATGGTTATTTGGCTGTTTATTCTTGAGGCAAGGTTAGTTATGTTTTGATCTAGAGTTCATTACTATCTGTCCACTGTCTCTGCAGCACTTTTTCCAGAATTAATTCTCCTATGTATCTTTCTCAAAGGTATTTTAAAAGAAAATCATAACATTACAAACTTTGAATTGAAGCAAAGAAGTATAAGATAGAGGTACAGAGTGTGAGCTTCATAAAGGAAAGAACAACAGTCCCATTGCACATTGTAACTGACATAGTCTATTGAAAGATTAATTTAGTTTACCTGCATTAAATTATAGAAACAAAGGCTGCACAATATTGGAAAAATCGGACATTGCAATATTTATTATGCCGCAATATTGTTCATGTAAATCTAATAGAAAGTATGCATTTTTGGTTGAATGCGAAAGATGCATACAAATGTATATATTTAGGTTTTTTGATTATGCTATTTGTGGTGTTTCAGTGTTTGGAGCCAAGGATTTATAGACAAATTACCAACCTACGTCACACATGATGTCACATGGGTTCCCGCTTGCAAAAAAAGACCGGCTGCATGTGCTGTAGGATGCCAAATTCGAGAAAGTCCAAAAATAGAAAACTTAACTTTTACCATAAACCACACTGCTTTAATGCCGACTGCAGACGTCTTTGGCTAAAAAGGAGCTGAATCAAATGTCGACCTAATTAGAAATGCTGGACTCTGCAATTCTCATGTTATATCCAACCCAGGCTCATTCTGAAAACGTAGTCCAGCAGACGTTTCTGGAGACCGCGAAATACGTCCCGGGAGGTACGTATTTGTGCAGTTTTTGTTTTTGCGAATCCGCGAGAGGCCGCTGTGCTCGCTCTTTCGTATCTCGAGCGTCTCTTGCGAGTGCCGTTCGCAAGGTGTACAGGCAATGTACAGGTGCAGTTGGTAATTAGAATGCAGTCGTTTTGCTAGTTGATGATTAATTATTCAGGCCTTGTACAGCTCCGTCTTCTTTCCTTGTCTTTGGCTGGGCAGAACCTCGGTTTTTAGCACTACATAGTGTTGAATCTGGTAGTCGTGGAACATTATTTCTGGCACATGACCACACAGAACAACATTGTTGGCATCCAAAGACTTGTAGGCCTTTAACTTCTCTCTTGTAAAAACACTTCAATGAGATTGTATATTTGGGGCTGGATGCTTGGTCATTTCTTCTTGTCCAATATTCATTGGGAGGGTGCTATCGCAATAGGATCTGTAAGATGAACGCTGTCACGTTCGGTGAGGGGAAAAAGGAGCGAGGACTCAGATGCAGCAATAATGGGTTTTTTATTAATAATAAAATGAAAACAAAAAGGCAAAACAAACAACCCCGAGGGGGTAAAACTCTAATGAAACAAATAAAAGAACAAACAAACTTGACTGACTGGACAAGACAGGGCTGGACACAACAGGACAGGAAACTTTCGACGACGAACTGACAAAGGACTGAAAACATGAGGGGGATTATAAAGCAAAAAGTAAATTGACACACAGGTGAACACAATTAACTAATAATGGGTTGACAAGGAGGGTGGGACTAGACAATAGACGGGAGAGCGCATGACACAGAGAGACAATACAAGCCATGCGCTCACATAACACAACACTGAAGCACACGACAAAAGCACGTGACCACAATGTAAACACCGAGCCACGTGCTTTGACAAAAGACGCAAGACACGAGCACCCGATGAATGAAAGCAATCACCGTGAGCTCACACACGCAGCGTGCATGCTTCATCCCAGCGCCGACCAAAACCGAAACCAACAAGACTGAGACGCTGGGAATGAAACACCACGCTGCTGACAGACGAAAACACAAACACGAGTACAAGAGCGCACGCGTCTGAGGGACGCAGAGCGCGCGCGGCCACATCATGTGGCAGCGCGCACACTCTGCGTACACCCACGACGGCGCGCGCACACACAGAGACAGAAACAGGACCAGACATTGAGTAGTGTCAGAGCTCTGCCACCAAAACAAGAATTTACAAGACCAAAGTGGCAGAACCCTGACAAACGCTGCTCACTTTCACGTTAACTTTGCCGAATCACTGTGCTTATCACTTGGTGACGAGCTGTTATAATACGCTGAAAGCATTATGTAAATAATATTTATAATATGTAATCAGTATATCTTATTTCCAAGCCAACAACAAAATCTGCAAAGCATCGGATGTCATTCCCTCGCTGTAAACGCTAGTGCTCCTGTTTTTTTTTTCTGCCACCTCCCTGCGTGTGCATCCGAAATGTTTATAAACATGGTAATTCGTCAATTGGTTTGCTTTGCTTAGTAGGACTTTCTAGTTGGTGGCAATTCCAGCACAGCATCATGGGTAATGTAGTTTTTCTGCCTGACTTCTGCTATTGGTTTAAAAATATATCCAATTACACCAATTGATGGGTTCAGCAAAAACATTAACAAACAATTAGCAACTTAAGACCCCATAACAGGCCTGTCTTTAAAAGGTCTCTAAAAATCAATATCTCTGTAGAGAAAAATAATTAGTTGTAACCTCCAGAAGCCGCATGCTATTCTCTAGAACCTCACTGTACAATATATATTATCCATGTTTCCTCACAAACTAACAAATAAAAACAGACTTTGGGTGATTTCAGTTCCCAGAAATGCATTGAAGTGCACTGACGTGTGTGTGCTGATAATTACCCTCACTTGAAGACTCTGGATTTCAGCCAAATGAGCCTTTTCTGCCTCCTCCAGTCTCTTCTTCTCTGTGTCCTCCCTCTGTGCAAACTCCATCTCTCTGTAAGAAAGCAAAAACACACAGATCTAGAGTGAGGCCAATAATGCATGCACTCATGTATGGGTTGAGGCGAGTTTGTGTAGACCTATTAGTCTATTTGGAAGGCCTTCGAGAGCACGGAGCCTCATTATCAGGAAAATAACAAGAAAAGCAATCCATCAAACTACTGTCAGCTGGGAGAGTTCCTGTATAATGCTTACTCAGGCTTGTCGGCACGGACAGACAGCGTCTTCAAAGTTAACTATGGCAATAATGCCTGAAGAGAGAGCTGAATTAAAGGCAGTCAGGCTCCAGAGGGGAGAGTTGTAATAGAAATGACCATAGAGATAAACTCTACACACTTTAGGAATTTGTTTGTTTGCTTTAGGAAATGTGCATGGTATGAATTTCTAAAGCACACCTTCACATCTTCAGCTACACAAAAACATGGCATGAAGGTTAAACTCGCATACAACCTAGTGATGCACAAATAAAAAAATGTATTTAATAAATATGGAAGCTAATAATATTGACCTTAGCAGTATTTACATTTTAAAAATATTTTGAAGTAATAAGAAGTATTTAAACATTTTAAAACATCAATACAGTGCTTTTCTTAACACTGGGTCTTATGATGTGTGTATGTCGTGTGTGTGCTAGTTATGTATGCTTATCATGTGTGTATGACGTGGCGCAGAGAGTATTTTACCGTCCTAAAAGTAGCAAAAGTGGACTGCGCTTTAGACTTTGCGCCTAGATCGTTAAAATAGAGCCCTACTCTGTCTTATGTACAGCACGTCGGTTAGTCTTGTGGCTGTTTTTAAATGCATGAACTTGAAATGTGTGAAATGTGTTTTACCCAGGGTTAAAATCTGTGTTTAGAACACTGATAACCCAGGCTAATCGCAGAGTGAAAAGCCCTTATTATTCACTCATTTTCTTGTCGGCTTAGTCCCTTTATTAATCTGAGGTAACCACAGCGGAATGAACCGCCAACTTATCCAGCAAGTTTTTACGCAGCGGATGCCCTTCCAGCCGCAACCCATCTCTGGGAAACATCCACACACACATTTACACACACACTCATACACTATGGACAATTTAGCTTACTCAATTCACCTGTACCGCATGTCTTTGGACTGTGGGGGAAACCGGAGCACCCGGAGGAAACCCACGCGAAGGCAGGGAGAACATGCAAACTCCACACAGAAACGCCAACTGAGCCGAGGTTCGAACCAGCGACCCAGCGACCTTCTTGCTGTGAGGCGACAGCACTACCTACAGCGCCACTGCCTCGCCCAAAAGCCCTTGTTAGTATTCGTTTTTCACATTTTTTTTTAAATCTTCATTTGTTTCAACAAACCACTGTTAAATTACTTTTATAATTACCCAAACTTGCCTAGTTAATCTGATTAGCCTAGTTAAAGTCCATGTGAACTGGAAGTTGAGGAGACTTTTATTGAAGTATGCTGATGTACTTCCAGCTAAAACAGAATATTAAACAGGGGGCGGGGTTTTCTTTACAGCATCATTCCCTCATAGCAAACTAACGCATGAGGTTAAAAATATAAGATGGGCGGGGTTAAGAAAATTATTATTCAGTTGCTATGAAAGCCCTCAGGTTGACATAAACAAAAGGACCACCACTCAAAACACAGAGGTAAATTCTCAGACTTTCATTTAAGATTATCAAAACAAACCCATTTTTTTCAGTGAATTAACTTGCACGGATTAATAATTTTTCACTTTAAGAGTAACAATGTGTGCTAGTAAAATAAACATTATAAACTTTTATTTCAAGCTGACTTTAGGCCTATTTTGAAAAAAGCCTGTTCTCTTCATAAAAAAGCACTTGGGACATATTTGAAAAAGAATTACTAGTAATTATGCCTTCACTAAAAGCAGTGGCAGTTTTTCTCTCCATTAAATGTACCTCTGCTGGAAGTCCTTGATGAGCTTTTTGGCCTTGTTGTACTTCTTCTCCAGGGCCTGATATTGACTCTGGGCCTCCTTCAGATGCTCATTGACGGTGTGGCAGAGCGTCTGAGCCTCAATCCAGTAGCTCTCCAGTTTTAGCATCCTCTCTTTATTGTCCTCGATGCTTTGCTTGAGCTGGGTCTTCTCTCTTTCCCAGCGAGCCTTTTCTTTCTCCACTGCGGCCAGCTGAACACAGAGAGAGTCCAGATAAATCAATAACGCATATACATTAGTGTTGTACTGCTTTAAAGACAATATTCTTCTTAATCTTATTATGTGTAGCACCTTATATTCTAAGATAAAAGGAATGATGCACAATAATTTTTTTGCCAGTTTTTAGCATTAACTAAAATGTGATTTCCTTAATTAAAAGTTTAAATATGAAATAACACATAAATACATGCAACTAATCACAATAAAACCAAGTCATTTAATTGACTGATTTAAGAATTTATTAGTCAAATTTTAAATTGGATTCCAAAACTTAAACTAAATTTAATCTATTTAAAGATTATAAATACATGATGATAATAATAATATAACAATAATAATTTAATCTAATTAAAGATTATAAATACATGATGAAGATGATGCTGATGATGATGATGATGATGATGATAATAATAATATAACAATAATAATTAAATCTAATAAAGATTATAAATACATGATGAAGATGATGATGATGATAATAAACAATAATAACTAAATCTAATTAAAGATTATAAATACATGATAATGATGCTGATGATATAATAATAATAATTAAATCTAATTAAAAATCATAAATACATGATGATGATAATAATATAACAATAATAATTAAATCAAATAAAAAATTATAAATATATGATGATGATGATAATATTATAACAATAATAATACAATCTAATTAAAGATTATAAATATTTGATGAAGAAGAAGATGATGATGATAATAATATAACAATAATAATTAAATCTAATTAAAGATTATAAATACATGATAATGATGCTGATGATATAATAATAATAATTAAATCTAATTAAAAATTATAAATACATGATGATGATAATAATATAACAATAATAATTATTATTTTATTTGTTTTAAAGCCTATCTTTTCTAGACAGTGTTTCAACATTGTTTTTCATGAGCGTTTCTAATTTTTAAATAAAATTTAGCTTTTCTTAATTTAAACAAAAGTGAAAATTTAAACATAAAATGTAATTCAAAACAAATTAATATGATCTTTTATTATTAAAAAAATAATAATATAAATATTCTTATTAATATTATCATCATCATCATCTTGTATATCTAATCTGTATATGGGTAAAGAGCATCGCTACACCATTTTTATTACCACTGTGTTTTCTTCAACTATCCGTCCCGTACATGCAGAGACTGAACCAGGCCAAACGACTTAAAAAAGCACAGATTAATCAGTCTAGACATCATCGACATGAAGAAACTGGAGATCCAAAAGCCAGCAAAATCTCTCACTAATAAGATAAGACCTTCCACACAACCATATTATATCTTAAATACATGACTCGACGTGATAGCGTCACAAAAATAAACACACAAAATTATATTGATTTTAAAGAGAATATCGGCAATATCGATAGCTTCAGATTTCACCCTGACTGTACGTTTTCGTATGTGATGAAATCTGTGTCTAAACTAAATTTTTATATGAAATATTGCTATGGGTAATTAAAAAAAACCCTAAATATCAGATGCAGGAAAATATGTATCATATCATGTAATTTATTAATTCATTAATTCGTTAATTTTCTTTCAGCTTAGTCCCTTTTTTATCAGGGGTTGCCACAGCGGAGTGAACTGCCAACTATTCCAGCTTATGTTTTAAATAAATCAAAAACGAATATAAATGACAGATCAAATAATCAAAATTATGAAAAGTAAAGTTAAAATTAAATAGGAAAATGCAAAAATAAGTAATAAAAAAATAGTTTCTCAAAACTGCAAAAATATAACTAATTTGAAAACAATAATAATTCATTTATTCATTTTTATTTTGGCTTAGTCCCTTTATTAATCAGGGTTCGCCACAGCGGAATGAACCGCCAACTTATCCAGCATATGTTTACGCAACGGATGCCCTTCCAGCCGCAACCCATTACTGGGAAAAATAATAATAATAGTTATAATAATTATAAAAATAAAAACACATTCATACAGTACATAAATAATTCAAAATTATTAACTAAAATTTAACAAAAATTAAAAAATATATAATTCACAATATACAAATCACAAAAAAAATTGCATGAAAAATGTATTTTTTTGCTTTGGCAACTAACCGAAACAGGTTCAAGTACTAAAATAGGTACAAAAAAAATTTAATTAAATTAATTAAAACTATGTGAAATATAAAAACTACCAAAAAGATTTTTTTTTAAAAACTTAATTATAAACACTACACACACAAATATATACATATACAGTTGAAGTCAGATTTATTAGCTCCCTTGTTTATCCCCCCCCCCCAAATTTCTGTTTAACAGAGAGCAGATTTTTTTTAACACATTTCTAAACATAATAGTTTTATTAACTCATTTCTAATAACTGATTTATTTTATCTTTGCCATGATGAAAGTAAATAATATTTTATTTATTTTAAGATAAAATATAAAACTAAAAAGCACATTCAAAATATAACAGAATAGTAACATGTGTATTAAAAGATTTTTCTCCATCTGAAGTCAATGAATACAGAGGAAATGTTTACAAATGCTAATCATTTTACAATTTACATTTTTTTTATAATTATAATAAAAAATTTGATTAAACTAAAATTAGTAGTTAAGAGTAATTTTCCTTTAATGCACTGAATATCTGTTCCATCTGATCTGATTTGCATCTTTCCTACGTTTGCAGTGTAGATGTAACAGCAGATACAGCAGGCTCTTACCTTGCTCTTGAGTTTCTGGATCTCGGCTTCAGTGACAGTGTGTTTAATCTGCAGCTGAAAACACAAAGAGGCAAGAGATGATCATGTACAGTGTCTTACTCTCAGAGGAAACTGACCAGAGCAGCTCTTTCTGCATCACTCTCTCTCTCTCTCTCTCTCTCTCTCTCTCTCTTTCTCTATGAGCAAATTCATAGGATGATCAGCAGGGAGAGAGTGAGAGAGTGTGTGTTTAGATGTTAAACACTGAAATGTTCACGTTTTTATACATTACATTGTTTGTTTATTCATTTATTTTATTTTTGGCTTAGTTCCTTTATTAATCAGGGGTCGCCACAGCGGAATGAACCCTCAACTTATCCAGCATATGTTTTACACAGCAGATGGCCTTCCTGCCGCAGCCCAGTACTAGGAAACACCCACACACTCTCATTCACACTCATACACTATGGACAATTTCGTTTTTCAATTCACCTGTACCGCATGTCTTTGGACTGTGGAGCACCCAGAGGAAACCCACACCAATACGGGGAGAACATGCAAACTCCACTCAGAAATGCCAACAGACTCAGCCAGGACTCGAACCAGTGACCTTCTTGCTGTGAGACATCAGTGCAAACCACTGAGCCACCGTGCCATCTGTTTTAGCGTAAATTAGCATGTTGCTAACATTTCCCGCCACATTTTACACTTTTAAAATTGTGTTAGTATATTGTATATTAAAATCTTACTAGCATGTTTCTAGCCTGTTGAACAAATTGCTAATGCTTAGAATACTGTTAGCAGGCTGCAAGCATGATTAGCATTTTATATGGATTTAACAGATGTTTACTTGCAAAATATGCGCGTCAGCTTGTAGCTTCAAACATGTCTCTTTCATCATGTCTCTCAAAGTATGAAGTAACTGAAAAAAGACAAGCGAAGTGGTATAGGTCATTTAATTTTGTTTATTGGTTTTGTTTTATTTTGTTAGGCAGGCATTAACAATGGTCAACATTTGACTGAAACATTTGCCTCTTCAGTAAATTTTTGGTCTATGCGCCTGATGGGAGTTTTTGTTAACTTGCTAATATATTTAATATGTGCTTTTTACATTTGCTGACATTTTATAATATATTTTAACACGAATTAGCATGTTATTAGCAGGTTTGCTGCTAGTATTTAAAGCTATTAAACTTATCGTTAATGTGTGAATTAGCATGTAGTTAGCATTTCCCCAATGTTTTTAATGATTTTTATAACTAGCATGCAAATATGTTTAGCCTTTTGCATTGATCAACAGATATTTACTTGCATTAGATGCATGTTAGCTTGCTGCTTCTAAAAAATGTTGCTAGCTTGTTTACAACATGTTTTAGCACATGCTAACTTGCTTTGCGTGTTTTAGTATGTTGCTAGCATTCAAAACTATTCTAGCACAAATAAACTTGTTGGTTTATAAACTTGTTGTTAACGTGAATTAGCATGTTGCTAGCATTTCCCTAATGTTTTAATGATTTTTAACTAGCATGCAAATATGCTAACTTGTTTTGCGAGTTTATTATGTTGCTAGCATTCAAAACTATTTTAGCATGAATAAACGTGTTGGTTTATACACATGTTGATAATATGAATTGACTAGCATTTTCCCTAACATTTTTATAATTAGCATGCCAATATGTTTAGCAGGCGACACGGTGGCACAGTGCCTAGCACGTTTGCCTCACAGCAAGAAGTCCGCTGGTTCAAGCCTCGGCTAAGTCAGTTGGCATTTCTGTGTGGAGTATGCATGTTCTCCCTGTGTTCACATGCGCTGTAAAAAATAAATCCGTAAAATTTACGGTAAAAAACGGCAGCTGTGGCTGCCAGTATTTCACCGTTAAAAATACAGTACAAACCGTAAAAGTAATTTCTCATTTTAACAGTAAACTACTGTATTTCATTGATTTATAGATATAATATCTGTATTTATATTGTAATATATATCTGTATTTGAATTACGAATATCGACACATCTTTTGTTACAAAGAGACACGTTTACACAGCCATATGCAGTTGGTGATGAGAAAGTCACATAATTAACCAATGCTCATCACGAACAACTATCCCCACAAGCAGAAAAGTGAATGAGTGTATAGTGTTATTCACACAGCTACTAAATACCAGTATGGTAACACGCGTAAAATTAAAGTCATGAAATAAACAGTTTATCAATATTAGATTTAACATAAATCTCTAATGTACATTACTGATCGGTAACCCCGCCGGTCCTACACCCCCCAACCCATTTTGAGCTGGGAACGAAGTGGCGACCTTCCGCATGGGAGACGGTTGCTCTAACAAGGAGGCTAAAAACCATGGGCTCTAGCGTCTGTCGCTAGAGCACCTTTAGAGGTCAGAGGAGTGAGGTTTACCTGCACAGCACCTACTAGCTGGCATCCGTTACACTCACCCCCTAAACCTCACTCCCATCCGGGTCACGGCACCAATGTAACCCCGCCAGTCCTACACCACCCAACCCGCTTCGAGCTAGGATCGAACTGGCAACCTTTCGCATGGGAGTCGGTTGCTCTAACAAGGAGGCTAAAGACCATGACCTCTAGCGTCTGTCTCTAGAGCCCCTTTAGAGGTCAGAGGAGTGAGGAATACCTGCACAGCACCTACTAGCTGGCCTTCATTACATGCGAAAACAACTAAAAAAATCCATAATAAATGTCAACAAAAAGTATAAAAGGTGATGTGCCATGCAGGGAATTATGGGAAAGTCAATTTACGCTATATATATTAAGGAAACATACTGTTAACCAGGTTATGGATTTCTACTGTGGCATTTTTACAGTTTTTTACCGTTGAAATCACGGCCATTTTTTACAGTGTGGGTTTCCTCCGAGTGCTCTGGTTTCCAAAGTCCAAAGACATGTGGGTATGCTATAACTGACCCTAGTGTGTGTGTGTGTGTGTATGTGAATTAGAGTGTGTGGATGTTTCCCAGTGATGAGCTGTGGCTGCTTAAAAACATATGCTGGATGAGTAGGCGGTTCATTCCGCTGTGGCGACCCCAGATTAATAAAAGGAGTAAGCCGACAAGAAAATGAATGAATGAATATGTTTAGCATTTCGTATGGACTAACAGATGTTGCCAGCAGGTTTGCACATGTGTAATATTTTAAATGTTTACCATTTTGCTAGCATATACAACTGAACAAAATCACAATTTATATTTTGACCTTAAAGACATTTAGTTTTGACAGTAAATGCTCTTGGTTTACCTCCCGAAACTTCTGGAACAGTTTGGTGGCATCCATTTCCGACGGCGAGATGATGTCCTCGTTTTCGGGTAAATCGAAAACCTCAATGGCCACATCTCTGTCTGTTCCCGTCTGTCCAGCCTCCTCCTCCTCATCGGTGGCGTATTCTCCAGTCTGAACACAAACACACACCAATCAACATCCACACTGCTCTTGCTGGAGCCATCAGTGAGCAGGCGTTCATATTTAATAGGATCCACAAACTCTCTCCAGGCATTGGGCCTCTGGGATGCTGTATTTAAAAATAGCAATGCAAGAAACCATCTAATACCCTAAAAACCTGGATTTGATCTTGCATTAATTGGTATGGTTAGCCAATTGAAACCTGAATTTACCTCGATTTGCACAGCGCACTGAAGTGTGCTATTACTTTTACAGGTTATGATTACACTTTTCATGCTATAAAAGTTTGCTTTAAACAGTAATGCATATGCGAGTTCCAGTCTGTTTTGTTTTCAATATAGCACCAATTGACACAGCATCTACTTCTGTTTGCATGCTGGTCTGCCGAAGTTATTTCAGGTGGACGGATGTGTGCAGACACACACAGACAGGTCGGTTCTGCTTGGCTGGGGCTCAGATCTGGTTGCAGGGCAGGGCTGTTCCCTGGGAGGATCACATTATTCTGCCTGGCAGGAGGCCGAAGATAACCCTGCCCTACTGTACCGCTTTAACCTGAGCGCTCTCTCATCTGTGTCTCATCTGAGTCTCCTCATCTACAGCACATCATCAGCGGGATATTACCTCTCAGAAACCCTCGAGGGGCAAATTACTTCTTTCTAGAGTGTCACATCCAATTAGTTTTTGTGTCACCATCCTTTTAGCAACAACCGCACATGTTTGAAGAAACTAATTGCAAGAAGGTCATATAGAGTTGCACAGAAAGCACTTATAACATGCTTAAAAATGTATGAATGCTACCGTATTAAATGACAAATTATAAACTGTGCCACTTTTAGAGTATTTAATATTTTCTTCACATTGCTTGTGTCATTGATTCGTTAGCAAGAGTTATGTTGCTAACATGTTTCCAGCACATAGATATTTACACTAGATATCGCATAGGGACCCCGAGCATGCGTCAATAGCGCCGCCACATTGGTACAGTGCTCCCAGGACAAATGTCATTCAACCGCACTAATCAAGACAGTGTTATTATGTGGAGATGCGGGACTTTAGCGCTGTCTACGGGTGTAGTAACAGCGAGTCAGTATGAGAAGTGAAAGCAGGAGAGGAGGTGTGTTTCAGGACACGGATTAGATTAAATTTAACAGGGAGGGTGAATAGTACATTCCTGTGCACACAAACACAAGCTTTTTGTCAGGAACGCCCGTGCGGTCACTGATCCATCAATGTAGAAAAGTGATGTAAAATTATAATTTTCGTAATTAGAAAAAAAAAATTACATACTAACATCCAGGAAAACTCCCGATCACAGATTCATGTGTATATGTGTATATCTCTGGCTTTGCATGGCCACAGTCCTCCACTGTACCTTGGTCCCGCATTCATTTCAAAGGAGCGCTACCCTGTAGCAAGATGGCGGCGCTATTGACGCATTCCGTCCAATAGACAACAATAGGCCAGGCGACATCTAGTGTATATATCTATGTTTCCAGCATAACTTTTATAGACATTATACACTACCTGACAAAAGTCTTGTTGTTCATCGCAGTTGTAAGAGCAACAAATAACTTGACTTCTAGTTGATCGTTTGGAAAAGTGGCAGAAGGTCTATTTTTCAGATGATCATCTGTTGAGCTGAATCCCAATCATTAGAAATACTGCAGAAGACCTATTGGAACCCGCATGGACCCAAGATTCTCACAGAAATCAGTCAAGTTTGGTGAAGCAAAAATCATGGTTTGGGGTTACATTCAGTATTGGGGTGTGCGAGAGATCTGCAGAGTGGATGGCAACATCATCAGCCTGAGGAATCAAGACGATTGTGCTGCCCATTACATTACAAACCACAGGAGAGGGCAAATCCTTCAGCAGGATAGCGCTCCTCATACTTCAGCCTCCACATCAAAGTTCCTGAAAGCAAAGAAGGTCAAGCTGCTCCAGGATCGGCCAGCCCAGTCACCAGACATGAACATTATTGAGCATGTCTAGAGTAAGATGAAGCAGGAGGTATTGAAGATACCTCCAAATAATCCTGATGATCTCTGGGAGTCCTGCAAGAACGCTTTCTTTGCCATTCCAGATGACTTTATTAATAAGTGATTTGAGCCATTGCAGAGATGTATGGATCCAGTCCTCCAAGCTCATGGGAGTCATACACTATATTAACTCTTTATCCACTGCAGCATGACTTTATATTCTTTACTGGACATTATTTCTGTTAAGTGACAAGACTTTTGTCTAAGCAAAGTCAGACCTTACTGTCCTAATGAAATCATTACAAATCATGGCATGATTATATTTTATT